TGTGCGCTGCGCCAAGTTTCCCAGCCGTTAAATGGGGAATGATTATCCCACCACTTCCTAAGAGGGAGCGAGGATAATACCCACTAATGACTGTGGAGGTCCTGGAAGGTGGTCCCGGAGATGTGCGGTGGCGCACGCAGGGGCTGCAGCCCTGCAAGGAGCACGCAGCACTTTAAACCCGACCGTCAGACATTTATTATTCCTCCTCATGCTGCCTTTTTTTTTTTTTTTTTTTTAATCCCGAAATAGATCCGCGTCTGTTCGTGCCGGATTCTCAAAAGCTGCGCCGTCATCCCCCGGGATGGGACATCCCAGCTCCGATGGCGAAGAAGAGGAAAATGCTGGGGGAAGGAGGCTGGGAGGGGTCTGGAGCGGACCCCTCACTCCTGCCCCGCTCCCCCCGGGCCTTTTCCCGGCGTCTCGCCGCCTCCTGGGAATTGTAGTCGCCGCGGGGTGACCTTGGCCCCGCGGCCGCCGCCTCTGCGAGGGATCCAGAAGGGCCCGGGGGGCTCCTCCGCCTCCGCCGGCCCCGCTCCGCCCCAGCTCTCCGCAGCCCCCCGGGAGCCGCCCCGGGCCGGGGATGCTGCGCCAGGCGAGTACCGGGGGCGGGGAGCGGGGGGATCGGGGCCGGGCACAGCCCGAGCGCACCCCGCGCACATCCCGCGCACGTCCCGCTCTATCCCCGCGCACACGGCGCGCACGTCGCGCTGGATCTCGGGGCTCATCCCGCGCGCGTCGCGCCGCATCCCCGCGCACATCCCGCGCACGTCGCGCTGCATCCCCGCGCACATCCCGCGCACTTCGCGCTGCATCTCCGAGCTCGCCCCGCCGCGTCCCCGCGCACGCCCCGCCGCGTCCCCGCCGCACCCGCGCTCACATCGCGCTGCATCGCCGCGCTCGCCCCGCTGCATCCCCGCGCACATCCCGCGCACATCCTGCGCACATCCCCGCGCACCTCCCGTTTTTTTTTTGCGCACATCCTGCGCACATCCTGCGCACTGCATCCCACTGCATCCCCGCGCCTCCCGTGCGCATCCCCTGCCTGCATCCCCTGCTCATCTCCTGCATCCCGCCATCTGCATTACCTGCTCATCTCCTGCATCCCCTGCATCCCCTGCTCATCTCCTGCATCCCCCCTGCACATCCCCTGCTCATCTCCTGCATCCCCTGCCTGCATCCCCTTCTCATGTCCTGCATTCCCTGCTCATCTTCTGCATCCCCTTCTCATCCCCTGCATCCCCCCTGCGCATCCCCTGCTCACCCCCATGCCCCCCACTCCCACCCTGCCCCCCGCTTGTCTCCCCTCTCCTCGCAGGGCCGGGACCCGCCCCCCCCCAGCCCCGGGCCCGAGGGGAGGGGCTGGCGTGGGACAGGCACAGCACCCCTGCTCCAGAGTGATGAGGATGGGTTAAAATCATGATAATTCTGATAATGATGATGATGATGATTATAATGTCAATAGGAATAATAATAAATAGGAATACTGGAAATAATAGTAACAATAATGGTAATGATAATGGTGATAATGCTAATTATCACAATACTAATAATGATAATGACATAATCATGTTACATTCAAATTTAAATAATAGTAATAATAATAATAATAATAATAATAATAATAATAATAATAATAATGTTACATTTGAATAAAAGGATCCAAGTGGATAAAATCTTAGGCAACTCTGCCCAGGCTCCCTCCTTCCCAGTGGATAAGTGGCAATGAGACCCCCAGGCCAAATGGGAACATCGGGTGGAATTTAAGGGGTCTCTCATTCTTCCTATTTTAACCCAAGGCTCCAAGGAAGGAGCTGCTTCACAGCTCTGTATTTTCCCCGTTTTTCTATTTAGGGATGATTGCTCCACACAGCATTGTAACTTCCATGCCATGGGCTGTTTTGTTCTCCCTCCTTTTTTTCCTCCCAGAATATACGATGCAGGTTCTGCTTGTGGACTGTTTTAATAGCAAGGTGGCTGAGACAAAGTTTACTCAATAAACTTGCTTTTCCCCTTGAGCAGCTTTAGCTTAGATAAACGGGCTTTAAAGTCCCGGCCTAGCGTGGGACTAGGAATGTTTACCATTCATCATTGTTAGTTAATTGCTGTTTGCTTAAATATTTAGTTTGGATTAAGTTCTTTTATTCCCTTTTCTTAAAAAAAAATAAATAAAGGTGTGTTTAGCCATGTGGTAAAAGGCTTTTAAAAGACACTGCAGGGGGGAAGCTCCATAAAGTTCTTTTTTTTATATTTTGCATTTACATTCTTATTTTTATTCTGCTGTGTTATATTTGTAACTAGCCAGGCTGAAGCAGCAAGGACATTCCACTGCTTTCTGTAGAGGCTGCAGACAGTTTTATTCCTTATTTCACAGAGAAAAACCCCATTGAATCATGGAATATCCTGAGCTGGAAGGGACCCACGGGACCATCAGCTCCTGCTCCTGGCTCTTCAGGGACAGCCCCAAATGCAGTTTCCAGCCTGGGTTAAAGCCACCAAACCCAGCTGGGGGCCTGCAGCTGGATTTTGTTCCGTGGAAGAGGACGAGGGGAAGGCAGTTTGGGGAAGGGCAGTTTTGGGAAGGGCACCGAGGAGGATTCCCAGCCCTGTGAGGTGTTAGTGAGCAGCAGGGTGAGGAGCTGAGTGCCGGGGCCAGCTCCCAGGTGCTGCTCCCTGCACAGGACAACGAGCAGCAGAAATCGATGGGGACGGGCTGGGGGAGGCCTGGCAGGGAGCAGGGCCTGCTGAAAAAGGCCTTTTTTGGTTCAAACCGCCGTGTTCCACAGCAGCAGTGACCCAGTCCTTACGTAAACAAGGGTTTAATTTTGGAACTTTAATGTTTCGCGGCTTAGGTTTCCTCTGCTGGTTCTCACACAGGGCCCGGCTGACAGAACGCTTCTCCCTCCCATTATCAGTCACCAAAGGCATGTCCTGTGCTCTGCTCGAGGTCCAGTTCGGGAATATTTGGTTTTGGGATAGTTCTGTGCCCCAGCACGGCTCTGTCAGCCTGGGGCAGGGTTTGTAAGGTGCCCTCAGCCCGGGTGCCTGCTCTGAGCTCTGCCCTGCCCAGGCAGGACCAAAGGCTGTTGGATTTCTTCTGTGTCCTCCCAGTAAAAGTGCCACAGGTGTCCCCTGGGAGGGGACAGCTCTGCCTGTCCCCTGCTGCCAAAGGCAGAGCTGGTTTTTCACCTGCAGCCCAGCCCTCCAGCCTCGACTGCTCTGTTCCAAACCAGCAGAGAACTCAGGAACAGGAGGTAAATTCCACTAGAAGTGCTTTGAAGGAAGGAATTTCTGTGGGGATGGGGGCTGGCTGGGTTTATTTCAGGTCCTTAGGAGGCAGCAGGTCCTTCCCAAATGAACCTGCGTGCTCTCCATCCACGACTTCTGCCTTTCCTTCCCCCTGGGCTGTGCTGGCTCTGGTGGTTCCCTCGCTGCCATCCTCTCCAGTCATGGAATGACTGCAGCTCCAGACTGGAACCATCCCTGGACCATTCTGAGCGTCCCCTCCCAGTGCCAGCGGGATGGATTTCCCTGTCTTGTGTCTGTGAAAAGGATTTAGAGAAAGGTTTGGGCTGGGGGCCATCAAAGGGACTTTAAAACTTATCTCATTCCACCCCTGCCATGGGATATCCAAAATATCTTAAAAAATGACAATTAGGGAAAAAAATAGAAAAGTTCATTCTCTAATTGAGCGTTGTTTGCAAAATAATTCCAGGCCACGAAGAGTAATCAGCTCATGCATAAAAATATGGCTTTAGGATCAATTTTCATTTTATTACTGGTAGCTTGGATTTTAGAAGTTACTGGTGGTTTTCAAATGATTTTTGCTATGGAAGTACAAAACACCTGTCCTAAATTTGTGAGCTCTTTTTTAATGAAAGGCTAGGGAGAGAAATGATCAAGAAAACACATTTTTAAAAAAATAAATCTTGGCAGTTTGAGGCCAAAACAGCTGTGAAAGGATCCTCGCTTTGCCCCCTCTTTTTTCCAAGTATTTTAAAAGATAATAGCTTAGAACTCCTTATTTTTAGAAGCCTCCAGAAGGCTCAGCTGAGACCCAGAGGCCACCGTGGCTCAGCGCTGTACAAGCAAATTATTTAGGCCAGTTTATCCCCGGCCAAAATAATTCACAATCCCAGTTTCCAGGCTGAGACGAGAGGCAGGGAGAGAGCTCAGGCAGCGCTGCCAGCACCAAGCCCAGCAGGAACAGCAGAACACCCCGGCCAGCCAAGCTGATGAATATGATAATCCCAAATATGATAATTTTCGGTAATAAAAAGCACTTCAGGATGGTTTGTTTTTTTTTTTTTAATAAATGGTGTGCGTGCAGCGAGGCGCCGGCTCTGGGCGTTCCCTGGCAGCCGGAGCTGCTCCGTGCGCGTCTGGTGGCTCCGAGCGCCCGCGGGTGCCGCGCGGGGCTGCAGCTCTCCCGTGAATCACTGTTGCAGTGTGGGGTTCTTTTGTTTTGTTTTATTGGTCTGCTTGCTGTTCAATTTGTGATTTTGCAATCCCCTTATGCCACTCCCTACTGAGTTTTAAACCCCCAGCTTCCCAGTTGTCAATCCCGCCTATCCCTGCCCTTTTCCCTCTGAATCCCCCTTGCTCCTCCCTCCCACTGGGTGTTAATCCTCCCCCAACCTGCCCTTTCTTCTGGAGAATTCCCTATTTTGTGTCCTTTGGGACCCTATTACCCAAGTTATTCCCCTCCCCAGTGCTCCTTTATTGGTTCAAGAGTAAAATACCCTGCCTCCAACCCCTCCCCAACCATACCCCTATTGGTTTGCTACCCTAAACCCCTCCTCCCGAGCGAGGTATGAAAGCTCTTGCTAGCCCCAAGTCTGGGTCTTGGGTGCTGATCATGAACCCCAAGCCTCACCCCAAGACCCGTGCTGCTGCCTTTTGTTCCTGCGCCGCTGGTAGCTGGGATTCTGCAGAGCTTGCAAGGGGGGGTCTGTCGCGCCCCAGTTGTCACAAAGTTGTGACAAAGTCCTCACCGCGACAGCCTGGCGCCCAACGTGGGGCTTGAGAACATCAACGGCACATTTCCCAATCCCTGCAAAAGCAGCGGCTCCAGGCAGGCACAGTCACGGGCAGGGATGTGCCCTCCCAGCCACGTGGTTGTCTTCGAGGGTCCCAGGACGAGGAAGAGATGAGAATCTTGACTCCATCTTTTCAGAAGGTTGATTTATTATTTTATGATATTATATGATATTAAAAATGCTATGCTAAAAGAATAGAGAAAATGATACAGACAGAAAGCTAGAAAGGAAAATGGAATGGAATGGAATGGAATGGGATGGAATGGAATGGAATGGAATGGAATGGAATGGAATGGAATGGAATGATAAAAAAAGCTCGTGACTCTCCGAGAGTCCGAGACAGCTGGACCATGGCTGGTCATTAAGTAGAAACAACCCACATGGACCCATCAAAGATGCACCTGTTGCATTCCACAGCAGCAGATAATTGTTGTTTTTTCTTTTCCTCTGAGGCTTCTCAGCTTCTCAGGAGAAAAAAATCCTAGCGAAGGGATTTTTCATAAAATATCACAGTGACACATCCGCAGGGATCTCCCAGCCAGGCCCCAGGCTTGGCTCACCTGGCAGAGCTGATGCCAGGAGCAGGGGGCACAGGACAGGGATGCTCCTGGCCACGGGCTGCTGCTGGCCCAGCAATGCCAAACCAGCTACTCAGGAATGCCCAAACAGGTTTTTGGGTTTTTTTCCCTGTTTGTTCACTTCCCAGTGGGAAAATGTTGCTTTGTTACATGACAAGGTTGACGGAACTTTTAATGGGAGGTTTTTGTGTACCCAGGGTGCAGCTCCAGGCAGCTGGGAGGTGACAGCAGGAGGGACAGCCAGGACTGAGGGACAGCCAGAAACTCTGCTCTGGCACCAGCTGAGCTCCAGGAGACTGGCTCCGTGGGACTTCTCTTGGGGAAGCAAACAGGGCTGTGCAGGGGAATTTCTGCCCTGCAGCCCACAGGTACCAACTGCTCTGCACTGAGTCTTTCTCATTTAAATAAAAACAAAACAAAACAAAACAAAAAAAAAGCCAAATCCTGGATCTGCATTTCAGTGCAAAGGGTGATTGAGCCCCAAAAGTGTAAACTGAAATCTTTTCTGACCAGTTCTAAGCAGAAATACTGCTGCTCCTCAGCGCATCCAAACCCTTATCCCCACTCAGAGCTGCCTGCCAGCCTGGACACGATCCTGCCTCTCTCAGGGCTGGGTCCTGGCATTCACCATGGCTTCGATTTTTACATAAAACATCCCATCAGGCTCAGATGAACATAAAATTTAATCCATGCTGTTCCCCTGTACTTACAGTTGTTCCTCAGGAAAATCCAAGATATTAAAATGTGATTTCTGCCACAGAAACTAAAAGAAACCCCAGAGCATTCACTCCTGGTTTCTCATCAAACAAAACTAAGTTGTTACAGCTGAAGGGATTCATTTTCTGACTAACTATTTAAATTGGTAATTAATATCCATCCCTTTGGTGGGGAAAGAGTTATTTGCCAGAGTTTCCCAGGCTGGATGGGACAAATAAACTTACCAGAGTTTGGAAAACAGAGGCTTAAATCTGTTTATTTCCCACTAAACATTTTGCAACGCCGCTGACGAGAAGCAGTCAGAGAAGCAGTCAGAGGAGGAAATCCATCCAGCCGGGATTTCTGCAGGGTTTAACCAGAGCCTGGCATGCAGGAGGAGCCCAGGGCTCGGTCTTTAGGCGGAGAGGCCGCGGGAGCCGCAGCCGTGCCCGGCAGAGCTCAGAGCTCGGGTCACCGGCAGAGCAGATCGGCAGGAGCGGAGCTGAGCGCTGGGCAGCTGGAGCTGCAGCCAAGGCCGGCAGGGGGGACACTGCTGCCACTGCCACTGCCACTGCCACTGCCACTGTCACTGCCACTGCCACCCTCCGAGCCCCCGGGTTCTGCAAGGACGGGCACTGAGTGCCCCCGGCCCCGCTGCGGCCAGCCGGGCACCGAGCCCCTCTCCAGTCACAGCGCCCTGTGCCCACGGGGAGCGGGGACCTGGGCACAGCAGAAGTGTGGCTGTAATTGGGATTAATCTATTTTTAGCAGGCTGTCTGCTGCCCTGTCCACGCTCCAGCTGAGATGTTTAATTCTGTCCAGCTTGACTCTTTCTGCAGTGGCACCCAGGACTGATTTTTCTTTCCTTACAAACCTTGAATGTATTTGGGTTGGGTTTTTTTTTTTTTTTTTTTCCAATTCATTGTTTTTCCTTGTTTTGTTTTTTTTTTTTTAATCTTTTTTTCCCCCTACCTACAATAACTGGAAAATCCAGCACTGAAGTAATACAAAGATTGCTGTATTAAAATAAAAAAAAAAAAAAGTTATACAACATTTACTATCATTATTATTCATTTTACTATGGAGTTTGGAAACCTCGTCATAGAACAGGAATGTGTTGTACCCTGTGCTGCACAAACAGCACAGAAGGAAAATTGCCTCTTCCAAGCTATATTGGATAAAAACACGCAGTGATACCAAAAGGATTTTGGTTAAACAGCAGCAGGACAAGATGTTAAAGCCATCTCTGAGCACCTCACCATTTACTGACCCCGCACTTAAATACCTGCCATGTGTATCTTTAACCTTTTATGAGGTATTTGCAAAGGGAACTTCGAGATTAGACTTGGGAAAACACCCTGGAACACAGTTGGACCGACATCAAGAGCCTGCTCCGGCTCGGGAATGTTTGCCTTTCCCAAATCCTCCTGGCCCGTGCCAGAGCGGGACCCGCTGCCCAGGGAGCGGAACCTTCAGCAGAGCAGCCAGAGCGGCTCTTTGGGCTTCTCCTGGCGATTGGGAAGATGCTCTGCAGGGAAAACCAGGGTCCTGTGCCGAAAGCTGCCCTGCAAACCCAGCCCGGGGCCGGTTCTGTGGGGTTTGGACCCTGCTGGGTTCGGATCCTGCTGGGTTTGGATCCTGCTGGGTTTGGATCCTTCCCGGTTCGGACCCTGCCCGGGTTCGGACCCTGCTGGGTTCGGACCCTGCTGCACTCGGATCCTGCTGGGTTCGGATCCTGCCCCATTCAGACCCTGCTCGGTTTGGTCCCTGCCCGTTTCGGATCCTGCTCCGGTTCGGACCCTGCTGGTTTTGGATCCTGCTCGGTTTGGTCCCTGCCCGGTCCGGACCCTGCTCGGTTCGGACCCTGTCCTGTTCGGACCCTGCTCGGTTCGGACCCTGTCCCGTTCGGACCCTGCTGGTTTTGGATCCTGCTCGGTTTGGTCCCTGCCCGGTTCGGACCCTGTCCCGTTCGGACCCTGCTGGTTTTGGATCCTGCTCGGTTTGGTCCCTGTCCGGTCCGGACCCTGCCCGGTTCGGACCCTGCTGGTTTTGGATCCTGCTCGGTTTGGTCCCTGTCCGGTCCGGACCCTGCCCGCCCCCGGGCCGGGGTGACTCACGGAGCCGCGGGTGCTGAGCGGGAGCGCGGCTATTTCCGTGCTCCCCCTGCAATCCCTGCTCCTCCGGCTGCGCTGTCAGGCACCTCAGCACCCCCGCCGCCTCTATTCTTAGCAGCTAATAGCTGAAATAATTCCTTTTGTCTCCGCGCTGTTGGCTCCTTGCATCGGGAGGCAGCGAGAGCTGCCCCCACAGCCGCTGCCAGCGCTGGGAGGGCGGCCGGGGGTCCCGGGGGTGGGGGCGGTGTCCCTGTGCCCACCGGGAATTCTGCTGTGGGCTGAGCATCCCAAACACCCCGGCCCCGAGTCCCACACCGGCCCCGAAGCGGTGCTTGGAAGCGGCTGGGATGTTAATGCGGTGCCACCTCTTTGAAAAGGATCCTGGCACTTCCAGCTGGCTTTCTTAGACTTCACCGGGAAAATTCCAGGTTTTCAGAGGGAGGGCCAGGTTTTCACCTGCGGGCTCCCATTTCAGTGCCTGCTCTGTGCCGTGGTTCGCACCGAGAATGCAAAAGCTCCATGCAAATGTGACTCCCCAGTGCCAGCACAGCCGTGCCAACACATCCCCGACAGCGCCCGGGAGCGAGCCCACACCTCTGGCAGGGCTGGCTTTCGATCCCAGCACCAGCTGTTCCACACAATTCCCTTGAAGCACCCCCCGAGGGGCACCATGAACCCCCTGCCCCGCTCTCTGTGGGGCTGTCAGCCGAGCACACCCAAACAGACACACGGAATCGGCTTTGAAACTGTTTGGGAAGGGGTTTGTTGCTCTTTATCTGCCTGCTGCTCTTCCTCCTGCTGCTTGGGATCCCAAGGAGAGCAGCAGTGTTCCAAATGGAACAGGGTGCCCAGAGCAGCTGTGGCTGTCCCTGGATCCCTGGAGGTGTCCAAGGCCAGGCTGGATGGGGCTTGGAGCAGCCTGGGATGGTGGAAGGTGTCCCTGCCCATGGCAGGGGTGGCACTGGATGAGCTTTAAGGTCCCTTCCTACCCAAACCATTCTGTGATTCTGCTGGGCTGGTAAAGAAAGGACTCACTGGCCATTTCTCTGGAATTCACTATGGAAAACAATAAACCTTTTGGAAAAAAACAAAACCTGAATGTTTGTTGTGACTCTGTCCCTCACTGAGGCTGTTTGTAAGCATGAGGTATCACTGGCAAATCCAACAAGAGCTACCCCACATCAGCACTTGAAAAACTGACCATTCTGCATTTTACAGCAGCTTTTAAGCCTTTGCGTTGGTAAAGTGAAGAAACTTTTCCACTGCCCTGTCCACCTTTGCCCGATTCTTTGCTCCTTCCGTTTGTGCCCAGCCACTCCCGCAGGGATGTGCCAAGCCTCCCCTTCCGTGGCTGCGAGGTCGAGGGGTTACACATTTACAGCTGCCCAGACTTGCTCCGGCCCGGGCAGGAATTCACTTGGCATAAACGAAGCCTTTGGATTATTTATCTCAGCCTTTCAGTTAAACAGGAACATGCCCTGATTTTAACAATCGTGCTTCCTGCGCTGGGGGAAGGTGTGGCCGATGGCATTTAAACCGAAACCCGAGCCAAGGCTTCCCCGGCAGGAAGCTGGAAGTGCGGGCAGGACCACGAGGGTTTCCTTCAGCACTCAAAACACCCCAGCAGCAATAATGATGTGCATAAGGGGGAGATCTGGGGAGTGTCAGACTCCATTTGTTGCTGCTATCAAGGTCATCGCAGCGTGGCAGCAGAAAATCGCACGGGAGACGCCGGAGAACTGAGGATGAACCTTCAGGTACAGCCTGGCACAGAAGCAGGGCAAGCCCAAACCTCCTCTGGAAGCTGAGGAATCCCTCTTGATCCTTTCATGGTGCTGAGGGAACTGTCAGTGACAGTCTGGAGAGTCAATCCTCTCCCTCCCTCCTCAACAAATGGTATTTTCCCCAAACATCCAGCCCGAACCACCCCAGTTGCAAGTCCTGAAATCTTGCTAGAATGTTCAGCACTATAAAAACTCTTTATTTTATTAATCAGCACTGTAAGCACCCAGGGCCCAGCTGTGATCAGCCATGGGGTCACTCCCAGTTTTGGAAGAGATTCCTACCCTGCCATTCTGATGGTGACACCGATCTCCCCTGTCTCACACCACAGCCATGGATTATTCCCATTTTCCAAGCCTCCTTTCTAGCCCAGGGCTTTGCACCCTCATAGGCAGTTCTTACAAAACCAAAGCTCTGCCTCCTACTTTTAAAGTCTGTAAGGAAAAGAAAAAAAGCTAAAAAAAAAAAACCCAACCCAAACCAGTAGCTACACATGGAAATGGGCTCCAGTTAAACCAGAAAAGCAGCCTAGATTTTTATAGTGGAATGTCGAAGATGTTCAAACGCTGAATACTGCCCAAGAGTGTCAGAAAATGACTTTATGTTTTTAGGCCTCATCACTCCGATCTGAGGGCTGAAGTTTTCCACTGCCCCAAGATTCCTGACACAGCTGATTGCTCCCCAGTGCAGCACAGCTCTGAGCTCCTCTTGGGAGCCACCAGCAAGCACCTAGAGCCAGGCAAGGACAGAAACACTCCAGGGCTGGTGATTTTCAAAGGAAAGCAAACCATAAAATAAACACTGCATTTCTCCTGAAAGCAACCAGAAAGAGTCATTTGGGATAAATCAAAGTTGGTTTCACCTTCCTGACGCACCACAGGCCTGACAAAAGCGGTGTGAGCCGCAAGCACCAGCGAACTGCCCCGTTTCTGAGGCTCCCAGCTTTCATCTGGCTCGGGTGTTTCATCTTGCTCTGTCACATCTGGAGCTCCCTGGATCTCGAGGTGGGCTCTGCCCGCCTGCACAGCGTGGTGCAAACCACCAGGGAGAAGTGGGAACACAGAAAATCCGCCCTGGCCCAGCGTGCTGGGGCTCCTGAGAGAATGGGGGTGACTGGAAGCAGCACAGGCAGCTCCAGCCCCAGCAAAGCCCGGCCTGCTTGGGGGGTGACTCATTTCAGGAGCCTGTGCTCGCTCCCAGTCATTAAGGAAGGAGTTAATCCCTGCAGCTTTGGCCACAAAGTGGATGTGTAAGGCCTGGAGTCCCATGGGCTCGATTGCATAAGAAACCATGTATTGTGGCATTTAGTTGATCATGCACTACTTCTTCTGGTCACATGGAGGCTTGATTTCCCCTTGCATCAGCTACTACAGACTTTTTACAGTTCTCATACTGGTGTCTGTTCAGCTCACCGGGGTCATCCCCTTCACCCCACAGCACAGCCCGTGCTGCTCACCCAGCCCTGACCCACGGGATCTCACCCCATTTTTTGTAGGATCCTATCAGAGCAACCGGGCACTTGTAATTTTCCTCATTTGTGTCTGTGCGTAACAGGTGTCATTTTCAGTGTAGTACAGACAAATCCCAAAATAGCTCAGGCTCTTCAGACGCTGCGAGGAGAAAAAAAACCGTGGTTACTTCAGCTTTGGTTGTAGTGAAAAACCCAACGCTCGCAGCCGGCTCTGAAGTCAGAATTAAAATGGCAGACGGAGGAGTGGAGCAGGGATCTCTCTGCATTCCGTGGTTCCTGACGGACTGCTCCTCGCTGCTCTGTGTGTGCACATCAACTCCCTCTCAGTGCTGCCTCTCCATCAGCTTCCCTGATTCCCAGGAGCTGCACCTACCACGGATCCTCCTCCACACTTCCCGGGGCTGGCAGAGCTCTGCTTCCCCTGCCGGGTGCCGGGGCTGGCCGGAGGCACCGGAGTTATTCCAGGGATTTGGGGGGCAGAGGTAAGGAGAGAGCGTGCAGCTGCAAAAGGCTCCTTGCCTGGGGATGATGCCTGCTGTGCTGAAATGCAGAGCTGCCTGTGGCCTGTCTTTGTTGGGGATTATTGGATTCTGTGGATTCTGGTGACTCCAGGAGCGCAGTTATTAGTTCCCCTGCCTACGCCGAGCGTTTTGAATCTGTGTGTGTGATAACACTTATTAATGCTGCTCAGATTAAGAAGATCCTATGGCTTTCCAGCACTTTCAGTACCTTATCTCACGCCATGCATCTCCCCAGCAGCTAAACCACGCTCAGATCACTGTCTTGTGGCCAGCAGAGCAGGGGTTTGTGGGGCCAGCAGTAGCCTCATGCCCAAAAGTCCTGCATTTGTTCACAGCAGCAGCTCCTCTTAAGCTGCCTTGTGCTTCAGGGGATCTGCCTGCTGAGGATTTGCAGGACATGGGCCTAAAATATCTCGTTTCAGGAAGTCAAGCAGTGGTTCCTGTCACCGAAACAGTTAATCAGAAAGCACCAACTCTCTGCTGCAACGTGTGTGTGCGTGCACGTGTTTTTGTTTTTTAGAGCCAGCAAGATTTGCTTTGGTTTTTTTAAAGCAGAAAACACCAAAAAAGTTGGCTGTGGTTTCAGCTGCTATCGCTCGAGATTTGTACTGCTGACTACCAATCCTAAAAGAGTTAACCTGGCAAGTATGACTCAGAAGCAGAGAAGGAGATGCGAGGCTGAGAGCCGGGGAGGAAGCGCAGAAAGAGAGGTGAGGAACAGAATAATTGCCAAAAAAAGGTGCAGAGTCCAGGAGCGACGTTCCCTCCGGTCTGCCTGGCCCTGGCACCGCTGGCACGGGCTCCCTGGAAAGCTGCAGTTCCGCTCTTATAACACAAGGAGCAGGCTGGAGAATTTAGAGCTGCGTCACAGAGCTCAGCGAGAGAGTGAGAGAGCAAGCTCCGTCGATAGGTCTACCAGCAACAGCCCTGCTGCAGCAAGAGGGGAGAGAGGCAGCAAGAGAGGCAGAGAGGGCTCCAGGAAGAGAAGTGGCACCAACACCACGGACTGGGCTCCTGCCACCATCCACTGCCATTTGCACCTCGTACTTGGGTTCGCTTGGCGTAGGAAGCTTCGCCCATTGACGATGCTGGAGACCCGGCGCGCTTAATCCCACGGGGAGGGAGAGTGGGCAGACACCGAAAGGGTTAACGGGAAGGAAATTTCTGGAACCTTCTCTTCTGCGGCGCTCCAGAGCGAGCGGAGGGCTGAGGACTGCGCAGATGGTGCACGGGCACGGCTCCTCGGTCCGGTTCGTCTCCCTCACGTACGTACCCTTTGATCAGGATGGGGCTGGAGCTGCAGCTACGTATTTGGATTATTTGCAGGGCGTCCCTTTCCCCCGGCGTCCCTAAGTTCGGATCCCAAAGTGCTTTTATTATTATTTTGGCTGGGTAGGATTGCTCTGTTCTGCGTCAGAGCTGTTTTCTCAATGGAGCGACGGCACAGGTTGTACTAATGTCACTCCTGCCGGCATTGCTGTACTGCAGAGGAGGGTAGTAGTCGTGGGGGAGAGATGACAACTTTGCAAAGACTGCTGTTTTCCTGGTTTGTCTGGGCTGTTTATCCCCCCCCCGTGTCCCTGGAGGCTGGCATGTCAGCCAGGGGTTGGTGCAGGGGTTAACAGGCGCCCTGAGATTCGGAGCTCGGAGGTTTGTCACTGCGTAGTTCGCAAAGTGGCAAACGGTGACGCAGTGATCATTGCAGGGCACGTCGTCCAGTTTTTAAAAGCACTGGGGACAGGTAGACGAGTGCCTTCCAGACGCTTCCACACCAGCTGAAAGGGGTTAAAGATGAGTCGAGCCGGGAAGCCAGCATTTAGGGATTAAATGTCATCATTTTGGCGTTGGAAAGTTGTTTACCTTGCTCTCTCGGTGTCTCCATGCTGGCAGGCGGCCAGCTCACATGTGATAGTCTTCCCTGGACTGCTGCATCATTAACGAGAGCCAGCGCCGGCTCCCATTGGCCGGGGAGGGCGCAGCGCCGGGGCCGCGCCGCCATTGGGCGCGCCGGGGATGGCAGGTGGAGCGCCCGAGCCCATTGGCCGTGCGCGGGTGTCAGCGGAGCGGGCAGCGAGCGGGGCTGCCGGTGCCCTCCGACACTGCCCTCCGACACTGCCCGCTGGCACTGCCCGCTGCCCGCTCCCCATTCCCTGTCTGCTCCCTGCCTGCTCCCTGCCCGCGGGGCTGCCGGTGCCCTCCGACACTGCCCGCTGGCACTGCCCGCTGCCCGCTCCCCATTCCCTGTCTGCTCCCTGCCTGCTCCCTGCCCGCGGGGCTGCCGGTGCCCTCCGACACTGCCCGCTGGCACTGCCCGCTGCCCGCTCCCCATTCCCTGTCTGCTCCCTGCCTGCTCCCTGCCCGCGGGGCTGCCGGTGCCCTCCGACACTGCCCGCTGGCACTGCCCGCTGCCCGCTCCCCATTCCCTGTCTGCTCCCTGCCTGCCCACTGCCTGCTCCCTCCCCGCGGGTGTCAGCGGAGCGGGTAGCGAGCGGGGCTGCCGGTGCCCTCCGACACTGCCCGCTGACGCTGCCCGCTGCCCGCTCCCCATTCCCTGCCTGCCCACTGCCTGCTCCCTGCCCGCTGCGCTGCCGGTGCCCTCCGACACTGCCCACTGCCTGCTCCCTATTCCCTGTCTGCTCCCTGCCTGCTCACTGCCTTGCTCCCTCCCTCCCTGCCTGCTCCCTGCCCTGCTCCCTATTCCCTGCCCTGCGGGTATCAGGGGAGCGGGCAGCAAGCAGGGCTGCTTCTGCACAGTGCCACTGCCCACTGCCCACTCCCTGCTTCTATTCCCTGCCTGCTCACTGCCCTCTGCCACTGCCTACGGACACTGCCCGCTGCCCGCTCCCTATTCCCTGCCTGCTCCCTGCCCTGCTACCTATTCCCTGTCCGTGGGTATCAGGGGAGTGGGCAGCAAGCAGGGCTGCTTCTGCCCAGTGCCACTGCCCACTCCCTGCTTCTATTCCCTGCCCTGCTCCCTATTCCCTGCCCGCGGGTGTCAGCAGCTGCCTCTGCCCTCTGCCTGCTGCCACTGCCCACTGCCCTCTGCCCACTCCCTGCTGCTATTCCCTGCCTGCTCCCTGCCTGTGGGTATCAGCAGAGCAGCCGTGTGAGTGCTGGGCTGCCTCTGCAACCTGAACGTCGATCCCAGTACTCCGAGTACCGGCAGCTGCCCCTGTCCTATTCCCTGCCTGTTGGCTGTTCCCTCTGTTGCCCCTGCTCCCTGTCCGTCCCCTAACTTCCTCCTGCCCATTCCTTGGCATGTTCCGTGGCTGCTCCCTGCCCAGTTGCTGCCCATTCCCTGCCTGCTCCCAGCTCCCTTCCCACCACTCCCTGCCCGCTGCTCGCTCTGTGCCCACCTCGGATCCCGGGATGCCAGGCGTCCCTCGGGCAGCAGGCAGGACAGGAGCTGGTCACTGCTGGATGTGCTGCGTGCAGCCCTTGGCCCATGGGTGCTGCCAGGAGGTCTCGTTTCGCCGTCCAGTCCAGTGTCAGAGCTGCAGCCCACGGTGCAGGGGAAAGTACTGGTGTTCAGGGCTTTTCTCCTTGCTTCTTTCCCTCTTGTGAGGTGCTGGAGTGTTGGCAGCACTGTGAGCTGCTTGGGGCAGGGATTGCACCTGGAAATTATGTCATGGGAATAGTTAAAGAAATGAAAATTACTCTTACCCAAACTCAGCTTTTGTTTGCACAAGTGTGAGTTTGCCACAGGCTTGGTAACATCACAGAGAGATGCAGACTGCCCTCAGTGATGGCTCTGTAAAGGTTGGCAAAGGAGTAACAGCGTTAGAAAGCAAGGAAGGAAGGATTGGGAACTGGTTAAGGATGAATGGGAGACTAAGGGCAGAGAGCAGCTCCAGAGAGAGGATAAGGAAGTGAAGGGAAGACCACTTTTCCCTCTTAACCATTCACTATACTATTTTTTCACCTCTCTTCTTAAAGCGCCCAGCAATGAAGATGGCAGCTCTGCCTGGAAGTGCTGAGGACACAGCCAGCCTTGAGCTTGGTCCTTCTGGCCGAGGAAGTCCCCCGATTATGCAGTGGAGTGGTAACTTTGTTTTCTCATACAACAGGGGCCATTATTCCATAGCCTTCCATCATTCTGAGGCTTACCAAGTTTCAGGATGTGCTAGCAGGAGTGTTTAATCTCTGTTACTCGCTGGCTGACATCTCCAGCGTCAGGGTTGGTTGTTTAGCAACAACCGCTGGGCTCAGGCACCGCGCGGCCGCCGTCCCCATCGCCTGGGCTGCAGCCTGGCCTCTGCAGGGTGCTCTGGGGGACAGGGAGAGAGGGCAGGGCTGGATTTACACCCCGAATGGAATTTTGGGGGTTTGGTCGCGCAGGCCGCAGGCGCTGCGGATTTTTCGCGACGCCGTCCTTTGCGCAGGGCCGCCATTTCCAACGGCAGTGCGGCGCGGGGACGGGGAGGGAAGAACCCAACAGACTGTACGTGCCACTCCCCACTTTCTTTCCCTCTTTCCCATCTCCATCTTTCCTCCTTCCCCTCCTTTCCTGCCAGATTCCATAGGGAATTTCAGCCTCTTACTGCAGTCATCACAACCCCTCCTGACTCACTGAGCCTTCGCTGGCTGGTGCTGGCTCCCTCGGAGCATCCTTGCCTCCCGCAGCGCCAGATCCGCAGAGCAGGGGAACAACAGGAACAGCAGCGACAATGGTGGTCCCTGCAGACAGACAGACAGGCATTAATACACACACACACATGAGAACAGTCCCAGGCAGCTGTGGAGGGGGTTCTGTACAGCCAGGAGCTGGACTAAGGAATGATGCTGGGTTGTGTGGATGATCAGTGGGTTGAGGGTATTTTCTCCAGTGTTGGTTGCATGGACAACTCTTCTGGTTTTCCCCATCACGGCTGTGGGGTGGAGAAGCCCTGACTTTGTAAAGCTAGTGCTGTTTTATGGCTTTCAAGGAGGTGCCACTGGCTGCTGAGTGTGATCAGCATAGGGATGTATTTGGTTTAATTCCTTTTGCCACCATGTTTTGGCCACAGCGATGGTTTAACTGTGCCTAAACGCAGGGAGGGCAGGGAGACGGATATAAGAGGAGTTATTTCAATGTTAAACTCCAGCTGTAAATCTCATTACTCAGGAATCGAGGTTACTGTCAGCAGGTAAATCTGTGGGACTGGCAGGAAACAAGGCTAAGAAGGGGACATGGCATATTTCTGTGGGACAGCAGTGATTGTGTGCACAGGGGTGGCACTGTCACCGTGAGCTGCACCTGGGTAACCGTTCCACGATCGTTTTCCGCACAGTGCCGCAAAAGGACTGGGGAAAGCTGTGATTTCTCCCTCCCTCTGACACTTGTGTGTGTGACACTGCATGAGCTGATTCATTTTCCTGTATCTGGGTTTCCCTGCTCTGGGGAGTGGGGTTTGCTCTGCCTCGGCCTTGGTGCAGCATCGTGACGCAGCGTTCGGTACCACGCCGACAAAACGCACGCAATTTTCTCGGGCGTTCTGACCGCTCGGGGACCGCGGGATTCGGGGAAGGAAGGGCAGGATTTCACATGCCCATGATATAAATTTAAAGCATTACCTCTTCTTGTCTGCTAGTGAAGGAAGGCTCTGTGAGGGACGAGACAGCCATGATCTCCTCCTGCTCTTGTTTTGCCGATGGTCATGTTACATCTGTGACGCAGACGAATTTTGCTCTTGGTTCCTGTCGGTGCTTTAGGGAGTGGAGCTGATGGGGGCACAAGCTTGAATATGGTTAGAAATATTCATTTCATATTGATGTTAGAGTTGAAACCACACCTGAAGGGTCAGGGGTATCAGGTCTACCTAGTGACCCTGCCAAATGGTGAAGGAATTCAGATGAGCCCCAGCATCCCTGGCCATTTTGCAGCTCGCAGAGCAAGCTCAGAGCCTGCAGCTCTGCTGCTGCTGCTGTTCATTTCCATGTTATACAAATACAGCACTGGGCTCTGTGTCAGGAGCTTTCTGATGCTGTGAGAAGCTTGAAGTCTACAAGCAAATGTTTTTCTTTTCTTATTTGGGAACATTCATTAAAACATCTAAATGCCAAGTGTTCTACCCTCTCTCCTCTGACAAATCTCTCCCAGACCTATCCAGAAAATTCAGTGCTGCTGCGTAGGATTTTTTAAACTTTATCATGGTGTTTCCTTACAGTTTAATATGGGTATGGCTGGGGGGGAGAGTAAGATTTAATTTGGTTAAATATCTGTAATGCTGATGTTAATGGACAAGGATGTAGGCAAGAGATAAGAGTTGTCCCCTTTATTTCTGTATATAGACAGTCCCAAGCCCAGGCTGTGAGGAAAAAAGGGAATACTCTACTCCCTTCCCACCCACCCAAACAATTTGGGTGTAAAGGCAGCAGGAGGAAAGGCCAAGCTGGAATGTCACAAAATGGTTCCACCAGCACTCAGAGATGCCAGTGCCGTTTATCCTGGCATGGCTCCGAGAGCGGCACCGTGAGCCGCCTGCTGCAAGGTCATTCCCCTGACTCATGGTCAGCAACCAGTTGGTTCAGGAACTCCCAATCTACTTCTCTTGCAACTGTGCCCATGCCTGAACCTGGAGGGGAGGCTTGAAAATTAGTATTACTGCAGCAGTGGGGGCACTGAGCCCAAAACTGCAGCTCAAAAAAAGTCCCATGTCTCTGAAAGATTTAAAAATCCGTATCTGTAATTTGTTTATTTGCTAGCTCCAAAAACTTTCCACTAGTTCCCTCATCCCCTTTTCCCCCAAGACTTCCTCTGGACTGCTGGGAACCAGGAGTGACATGTATTTAAGGGCTCACACTCTGTTCTAGGACGAAAACCTCTGTGTACATTTGCATTTCTGTGGCGATCAGGTGGACTTTACAGGCTCCCCAGAGCCTGTCAAGCCAGGGGTGTCTCTCAGGTGCTTTCAGTTTCAGATACCTCACCTTAGGAGCTGTCTTGTCCCCTCCCAAGTTTCCCCATTTTTCCCTGGTGTTCCTATTTGCCCATCTCACTGGTATTTTCATCTGTCTCAGGACAACACATGGATATGCTCAGGGTTGTCTCCCAGGCAGCAGAGCAGTAGTTAATGCCTCTGAGCAAAAGAACTTACTTAGTGCCCAAAGTTCAATTTGGGGGCACATTCTGTGGACAGAGAGGGAAAGGGAGAGCAGGGCCATGAGCAGAGCCCTCCTGCTCCCAGAGCTGCCAGCCCACCTCACCAAGCCCCCAGCCTGACCCTGCCCACGATGAGCCTTCGCCTTCCCCATCACCATTCCCTGGTTTCCAAAGGGACAGAACCTGGCTGCCAATCCCGATGCCAGTGACGGCTCCTCGCCTACAGGGAGGCAGATGTGATGGCTCGTCTGCTAAAAACTGAGCCAACACACTGTGATTCAGCCCTCCAGCTTTCCAAGGAAGAGCTATTTCTGAGTGAGGCTCATCTCTTCAGCTCCCCCCACAAACACTCACGGCGCTCAGGAGTCCAACAGCAGCCACTGGCTTTGCATTTGGATATCCAGCCCAAATGCTTCTTAAACACTGACCATGGCTCTTGGACACACGGTGACATTTCAGGGATGGAATGATGGAAACCTGGGACAGACCAGCAGCTCGTGTGCCTGCGGGAGTCAGCCAGGAGTGTTTGGTCAGTGCTTTTCTCCAGCTGTTTTGCCAGGTCCTTGTACTGCAGGCAGTGTTAAACTAAAGGCTTGTTTTCAGATGCCTGGTCTAAAGGCAGGTTATACTTCAGTGAACATCTGGCTGGGTTTGTTTCCTTATGCTCCTCCCTGGCACAGGACATTCTTTTGTCTCTAGAATGACACAAAAGAAAAATATGGCTTCCCTTGCCATTACCTGGAGGAGCTGGAGCGGTGGTGTTGGGGGAACACCATGTTCCCAAACTGACTGTACAAATCACAACAATCATCTCCCTGTGAGAGCTTTCAAGCCCTGCAATCAGTACTTTACATTCTAAAGTGATGCTTAGGTACAGGAGTTAGGAATAGAAAATGGCCTTTCTGGTTGCAGCTGCTTAGGTGGATCATTTGTTTGAGTGGAGTGAGTTTTGCAATGTGCTGCTCATTCAGGCTGTGCAGGGCTAAATTTGGTGTTTTCTTTCCTACTGCCCTTCCCTGACCTCAGCCCTGTAAGTGCAGTGCTCTTTTTGTGTTTGCCCAGTTTCACCTCACTGTTCCCTGTGAAATCTGGAATTCTCCACAGGATCCAGGGGTTCAGCAGTTGCTGTGCCCTCCAAACAGGCTCAGGGTTTGCCCAGGAACTCTCCTGAGAGCAAAGCTGGAGGAGAACTGGATGACTCCAGGCAAGTCAAAGCAATTTCAGATGAGCAGGGGGGAATCACAAGATGGGGAACTACAGCTCTAATATCTAAGCACACCTCTAATGGTCACCCTGCTAAAACAGACACTGCTCTGACAGATTCCCCTGAACAGGAATTGAAAACAGTGACTCAAACCAAGCAGGCCTGACTGTCCCACTGCTCACAGTTAAAAGGGACACAAAGCTCCACAGGCTTTTACCCCCATCCTTTCCCAGTGTTCAGCCTGCCTTGGGGTTTTGGGGGCTTTCAGACACAGAGTGTCTGGCTTTTAACTCCATTTGTACTGCAGTTGTAAGGCTGCAAGAGTAGGACTGAAGGAATAGGCTACGTTCAATTCAGGACTGTAATGTGGAGTTTTTACTGTGGTCTTAATAAAGGAAAAAAATATCTCCCTCATGCTTTAAACTCGTGAAGGAAGTCCCTGTTTTTGCTGCCCATAACAGCAGTGGCCTCTCCAGAGCCATCTCCTAGGCACAAACACCAATTTTCCCAAGCAGTGCAGCCCCTGCTCTGCCTTCCCTCAGCCCAGGCTGCTGCTCTGGCACACCAAGTGCTCCACAGAGAACTGGCTCCCAGTGCAAGTCAGAGCACATTTGTCCACAGCTGACCCACGCAGCACCAGACCTGCACAACAAAGAGATGCAGTTACAGGCTCCCCACGCTCAGGAGGCTTTTTTTGAAACCTTAGAAGTTCACTCATTTCCATTCCCCTTGCAGGTCACCACTTGTACTGTCACACCCCTTGTCCTGCACCTGGCCTTGGGCTGATTCATTCCTTCACTGGGAGGATGATGCATCAAGCTCAGATTCTCAGCATGTAAAACAGGGATTATTTTCTCCAGGGGAGACCAGAGCCTGATGAACTATGAGTTTCACCCTGTGATGTGAAAATGGAGGAAAAAATTTATGATGCACACTGAGATCTGTTTTGCTTTCTGTAAAAACCCCAGAACTGCCTTTCTACAGAAGGTGCAGGTTGTGCAAAATCAGGTCTGTGACATCCAGGCTCGCCTTGTTCCTGCAGACTGAAGGTCTCAGGGTAGAGAGAAGTTGCCTTTCACAGGGAAGGCAGGGATTCCCTTTTTGTCTTTGTCTCCTATGGAATGTATAAAGCAGTGTGAAGTCCATGAAAGGCTTTGAGCTGTTCCTCTGAAAGAAGCTACAGAACAGCACTGCCACTAAAACATCTGAAAAGGAGGAAAACCACAGAATTATACTGTACTTTCCCTACTATTATTTATTGGAAAGTCCAGACCCCTGTGCTAAAGCCAAGCACAGGTGACAGCATTTGCTGCTCTCCACACAGCAAATGTCTGAGACCAGCACTGCTTCATCTTCTTCCCTGTGAGGATGGGGAGGGGCTGGGATGGAATTCCCAGAGCAGCTGTGGCTGCCCCACCCCTGGGAGTGTCCAAGGCCAGGTTGGAGCAGCCTGGGCCCGTGGGAGGTGTCCCTGCCCATGGCAGGTGTGGCACTGGGTGAGCTTTAAGGTCCCTTCCAAGCCAAACCATCCTGTGCTCCTGTTTTCTTGCCCATGTGCACAGTCCCAGTGGGGAGCTGTGGATCACAGCATCCTGCACTGCTCCTTTCTCCTGCCCAGACACACTGGGAGCCTTGGAAAGGAGAGCACAGGCAGATGTACCCTTCCCAAATGTGCACCTGCACCTTGCCAAGAAGGGCTGACACCTTCTGGGGAGCTTGTGAAGGCAACAGGACAAACTCCAGGTATCCAGGAGGAGGGGCAGCAGCATCTTAATTATGCTGAAGTGAAACCTGGTTTTATCAAAACTATAAATAATAAATGAGCCATTGGTCTTCATCTGCTGCATGATATTTCTGGAAAGGTTGGTCTCTTTGCAGAGGGGAAGATGTGCAGAAGTGTTCAGTCCTTCTAAATCTCATACTTTGACACAAGTTCCCATTTTCAGCAGCACAAAATTAAGTGACGTTTCCTCCAACTATTTCTCAAAATCCTAATGAAGATTTCTTTGCAATGGTTACTACTGAGGCAAGGAAAAACCAAAGCAAAGCTCACTGTGAGCCTGCTTCTCAGAGATGCTGCTGTGATTCTGGAATTCTGTACCTGCCTCTCCTCAGCAGCAACTCCTGCTGCAGCTTTTCAGGAGTAAATCTCACCTGATAATAGAGGGTGCCTCCTAAATAACTGTGCCACACGGCAGGCACTGGGGAGGGAACCTGCTTTCCACTCGTCTTTCACCCTGTTGCCCCAGATAATGGATTTAGAAACGACAGTAAATATCCAGACAAGGAATCTAGTCCAGTTATTTCCCCTTCCTCCACCCCTCTTTCTTGGAAGGACAAGCTCCTGTCTCTGAGCTTTCCCTCTGCTGCCTGGGAGTGTGCATTAGGATGGAGGCACCGGAGCAGATTTTTGGATGTGGTTACAACAGGAATACACAGAGCTGCCAAAACCCCAGGGCATCAATAAGTGAAACTGCTGCCTCCAGTTGTGCTTTGTTCCATTTCACATTGGCCTCTGCTCCAGCACAGGTCAGACACTTATCCAAGGGTTGATAGCTCCTGAATTATGCATGTGTGGAGCAGTTCAGAGGCTTCTCAACACCCCCTCTATTCCCTCTGCTCTGAGCTGTGGACACTGCAGGTTAAGTGCTCAGCCCTGCTGCAGTTCCAGGAACCATCAGCCACTCATTTTCACACTCTCCTTCCTCGACAACTTCCACTGAACCATTTACAGTTCAATTTGTGAACGCTCCCTTTCTGCTCTGACCCACACTCGAAGTTCTTTCAATCCAATTTATTTTCATCCTGCCTGCAGAATTTAAAAGTTGTCTCACAAAAATCTGCAAGTCCTTGCTTATTTAAAGCACAGGGACTGCTGATAGAGGAAGTTCCATCAGGACACTCACATTTCCTTTCCCTGTCACAAAAAGCACCTGATGTGTCCTGTATTCTCTGATCAGTGAGTGACAGAAAGCCAGAACACTCTCTGCCTTGGACAGAATGAGGTTTATAGCCTGGTTTCATCTGCAGTGAAATGGAAAAAGTGTTCCTGTGCCACACAAACTTCCCACACTCACCCCATCAGCATCGTGCTCTGCACTAGCAAGAAATAAAACCTTGATCATCTCTTGCTGGGAAGAATTTGAGTGCATTCCACCTGGCTAGGGCAGGAAACAACACTCACTGCCAGGCTGGGGGTTTTCCTCACCACAGATTTCATTTCTCCTACACCAGCCTCAACCATCCACAAGATTCCACAAAAGAAGTGTATCCATAAAGTAGCTAAGCCCAAGGTAACTGTCTTGCTGTCTAATAAAATTAAATAAATGAATTTTTCTCCAGGTACGGTGGAGATGAAGGATTTTCTCCCTCAGCCTGCAGCCATGCACAAGATGTGTCTTCCTCTGGAAGCTGGTTTCACATGGTGGCTTAGATTTTCCCACTTTGTATCTAGCACCATTTGAAATCAGTGTTCTAGGAGCAAGAATTACAGCGTGGGAGGAGACCAAGCACCTGCTCACTTCAACAACATCCTCTGCTCCTCAAATCAGCCCCTTTTCCAAAGGTTATTTTTTTACCAGCCATCCACTTTGTAACATCATCTGATTTCTGAACACTCCAACCACTGTATGCACCCTCCCAAGCCAGGCCACAGCAGCACAGCCTCCTGCTCGTGTACTTCTGCTCAATAAACAATGGATATGAGTTCAAGGTGTCCAGAGTAAAGTGATCCGCAAGTTGCATGAAAACCAACGTGGTATCTCTTGTACCTTGACAGGCAGAGTATGTTTGATACCCAAAAACTAGGATCAACCTCGAATTTACTGCCTCAGAGCAAAAGGATTCCCACCCTCTGCTTGGGGGCTCCATCACCACGGGATTCTCATTCCATAGCTCTGCAAACACAGAAATTCCCCCCAGCAATTTCACCTCAGCAGTCAGACACAAGTGCCTTCAGCAATCCCAGACTGGCTTGGGTTGGAAGGGACCTTAAAGATCATCCTGTTCCACCCCCTGCCACGGGCATCACAAGATGCCACACAGCACACACAGAACCCACTCCTTTTTCCAGAATCACTTCCCAGCACACACAGAACCCACTCCTTTTTCCAGAATAATTATCCAGTTTGCTGCTGGTACCTCCCAGCAATATTTCACTTCTCCAGCCCTGCATCCCAACCTAGAATGAAGCTGAACTTTTTTTTTTTTTGCCCTCCCTGCTGCCCAGCGTGTTCCCAGACATGGAAAAGCTGATCCCTGTGTGGATGAAGGTTTGATCAGAGCACTGAGTAGTCATCTCTAAAGAATGCATAGCTGTCATCTCCAAGAGGATCCTTCTCTGAGCCAGGAAAACGTCTCTTACACAGGCTGACCGATTTCTCTTGGTGTTCAGAGTCTCAGTTTTTGTCTAGCACCATTTGAAATCGGTTATGATGTAGGGGGAAAAGCAACAGTAATGGGAAACTTCCTTCCCTCACCCCCCAGGTCACAAACAAACACCATCCAGAGCACCACCTGGCCTCCCCAACACCACTGGCTTGCTGTTCTCTGAGCTGAAGTTGCCCCCACAGGCTGAACATCCTGCACACAAGGAGGACAGTCAGCATCCCCTTCAAGTGAGGATGGGGTGCTTCCAGACAGAGAGAAGCATCTCTTCAAACATAACTCAGCTTCTTCAACTCAGGCAAGCCAGGGCCTGGGTGTGACAACACAGCCACCCAACCTTCTGACCACTTCTACTCCATGTGCTGTTTGTTTGCCTTAACCTGTTCTTTACACAGATTTTTTTTTTCCTTCTAAATAAAATTGTGTGCTCTATGCTCCTGGGCTCTGTCTCAGGTAGAGAGATCACCTGATTCCCTGCTGGACAACACCTAAGTGCTGCAAGTCTCTTCATTTCAGCCCCCAGCTCCATTTTCACCACCCTCAGAAGTATTCAGGTTCAGGGAATCAGAATGGTTTGGTTTGGAAGGGTCTTTAAAATCATCCAGCTCCAACCCCTGCTATGGGCAGGGTTTAATTTATACTCATTTTAACTGTGACACTGAAAATCCACCAACCACAGTGACTTCACATTATTTAACCCTAAACCACATAAGTTTGGACCTGTTTTGTTACTCCCGCTGCCCTGTCACCAGTAGATGGCAACAACTCATTTTTACTCCATGCAGTCTTTCCCTCAGCAAAGTTCACATCCCTTTAATTATCAGTTCCAGACTCCAAAAGGAAATAATTCATGCAGCACTGAGTTTTAGAAAAACAGCGCAGGACTCATGACAATTAGGCCAAATTAATTTGTAGTGTTTAAGTCAGATTCACAGAACCACAGAGCAGAATCCCAGAATGATTTGGGTTGGAAGGGAGATTAAAGATCATCCCATTCCTAGAAACATTGCTTATCCCCTCAATGCTCACTGCAAACCCAAACTCCACAGTGTAAAGCTGTGCAGTCTGGCATCACTTCCACACCAACTCACTCTGAGTATCTCAAGCACAAACTGCAATGAAATACAGCACCTGAAGTTATTTTTTCTATTCTACCCTCTGAAAGGCTACTCTCTATCAGGCAGCTGACTCCACACACGGCAGTTCAGCACATTTCAAGTGTGAAACTCACACAATTCCTAAATCCACTCTCCTTCACAGGTCACCTAAACCCAGCAGAGCTGTATTCCCTAAGGACTGCACGTGTCACACACTGGACAAAAGGGCCAAAACACCCTCTGGGCTTTGCCTCAAGTGTTCCACCAGAACAGCCCCAATTTCCTCTTCTCCGTCAGCTTTTCACCAATTTTTTCAGGAGTCAACACTGTAAAATTTTGGAGGTTCTTGGAAATTCTCTGCAATTCTAAAAGGAAACCCCAAAAGGTGCTCAGCAAATTAAAACCCATCCCCTACACTGCCACTGGTAACTCTGTGTACAAACTGCAAACTTCAATCTCAGCAGTTTCCACCTGATATTTGGGACATGAAAAATCATCTGGATAACAATGGGAGAAAAGCTGCTCAGCACAATGATGAATGAAAGACAAACACTTACTGCTAAATAATTTAACATTTTTATTTGGAATAGTACAAATCATTGCTAATCTTTACATCCAGAAAGAAGAGCAAAAACACAGCCACTTTTTACAGCGATTTCACTTCCCAGTTAAGAACATTCCAGTGTATTTCAGACATTGCAGATGCCACACAAAGCAAGCTGAGCTCCTGACCAGCCCCACACTCAGTCCCAGTCACACATCCCAGTGTTTACAAACAACTCTCAAACTGAGCTATCAGCCAGGCCACCAACAGCAAATCCTTCTGCAGAGCCAAAGCCCCTTTCTAACAACCACAGCCTATTATGAACTCCAACAATACGACTGCTGGGACTGTCCCAAAAAACCCTATAAAGCCCCAAACAGTTCTGTGCCACTCCAACAATCTGTTGATGACAGGGAGAGCAGTGCCAAGCAGCCACACACAAGCCAGAGCACTTTCAATGCTGCCTCAGGCATCTGAAGTGAGGCTATTTGGGTTTTCTGTGAAAATTAGAAGCTGCCTGCATGCTGATAGTGAGATTCATGGAGCTAAAACCTGTTCTAGTTAAGATTTGGGGTTTGCTGAGGATTAGAAGCAGCAGTGATTCTAAACTAATGGCAAACACAGTGGTGGGAGCTCCCGGAGCCAGGATCTGGACTGAAACATTTGCTGAACCAGCACCAAGCAGCAAACAAGAGACCACCACATCTACCAGCACTCACACAACTGAACTGATTTGGTTTTCCTTTAACATGAAAAGTGAGTGACAGGGAAAATCTTCTGCTTCTAAACAGGAACCTGATGCTAAATCAAGCTTTTCAGAGCTTGATTTAACATCCCAGTCTGCAGCCAGAGGTTAGAAATGTGGAATATGTGACTTCAAGTAGAAAAGCAAGGTAGGTGGATCACACAGCACCTGTTTCTACCCTTGAAAGCAACAGAAGATCTCCAGAACTGACCTCAAGGCTCACTAAAATCGAGCACCCTAAGGAATTTCCACTGTGCTCATGACAGGACATGGCCACCACTGAGCTCTCAGCAGTTCCTTTAATTAGGGATCTCCTGTCAACAGCAGGGGATGCCTTTGCTACAGAATCCTTCAGCTTTCAGGTCCAACAAATCCACTGCAGTCTTTGGGAGATTACAGCAAAAAATCAGAAATATATATGGCTCTTTTCCTTCTCAAAAGCAAAGGAAAAGCTATAAAATTCTGATTTCAAGGCACATTTTAATTCATTATATATACAGCAACCAACTTTGGCAGACAAAGAGGTAGAGTATATAAGATCTTAATTGTGATAGTTTCCAAAAGATATCACCTTCAACGGCACCAGACTCTTCAGGGAATGAGCAACAACACATTTCAGAGCACAAAGGAAACAACAGAACCATTTACACCACCTCTAGCAAAAAGGGATGGGAAGGACAGCCAGGTTTGAGTGAGCAGAGCTCTACAGCAGAGAGGGGAATATTGGACATCTTGTGTAAGCCAAGAGGTGGCACTGAAGGCAGCAGCACTGGGACAGGGACATTGCAGCACTCCCACAGACTCTGGCATGCTGCAGGTACTGCCTTTCCCCCAGCTGACAGAAGGACAATGAGGGGCCCAGAAGGCAAAGCAGGATCTGTGTCAGCTATATGCACACACACTTCTTATCCTATCAAGCATCTCCTCCTCCAGTTCATCAGCAGAGCAAGACACAGCACAAGGAACTCAAGGACAGCCACTCACTGCAAGGGCAATCAATCCTTGTCCAGCTCTGACAGGGACATCCCACTGCAGGGTCCCTCCCTCCCCCCAGAAAGGGCAGTCATGCTTTACACATCTTATATTCGGCAGAACTGGGAGTGCTGTCACGTTTCCTACAAACAAAAAAACAAGTCAAATCAGAGGTTTTACATTGCAAGAGGTTTTACATTTACACTGAAAGCACATCCTTAGTTTTGGCATTTAAGCTGCAGGTAAAGTCACAAACTGGGTCATACTTTAGCCTCTCTTTACCAACTGCTGGACTGAGATTTTAGCTTCATTCTGCTACTGAACTGTCAGCAATGACCCAAGGAGCAGCACAACCTTTGATCCAAAGGGATCATTCCAAGTGATGACTGGTATTACCAAAAACTAACACCAGAACAGGTTCAGGATTCCCATAACTCCACCAGGTGCACTCTGGAATTCATTTTAATTACTGTGTGTTGTTTAGTATCTATTTCCCGACCAAAAATGAAATATTAGTTTGTGTGGATTTTGATTCTGCAGCCCACTAACAGCAACTTTAAAACACTTAAACATGCAAGAACTAAAATTCACAATGACATTCTTATGTATGTCCCAAGTTCTTGAATAACTCCTGCTTTGCTTTAACAAAATCCCAACCCATACCAAACCTCAGTGCTATTACTCCAAGGCTCTAAGGAGGTCCACATTCCATAAGAAACCATCCAGAATCACCAGTGTTGACACACCAGACCAGTAATTCCTCTTATCGTGTGTAAAGGTAAATTTGAAATGAAGAATTCTGTTCTATCTCCTGATTCATTTTTTCTCTCCAAAAATAAGCCAAATTAACCCAAAAAACACATCCTATCTTAATTAGAAACATCTTTGTTCAGAGTGAAGATGATATTCCTTAATCTATAAATTATTTTGGAATAAACTCCAAGCTTAATGTTCATATAAAAACTCACCAAAAATACTGAAAATTCACCTGTCCTTTACATGTCAATAAAAACAAGATTATGCACATGAAAAGACCTTTGCATTAAGCTGGAATAAGAGAACCCATCACCTCCTCAGAATTTGTGCAGTGGAGAAAAGCAAAAAAAAAAAGAAGAAGCTGATTTAAAAAAAATTATTTGTAGTTCCAGCACTGTTGAGATAGCAACAACAAAACACTGGAAAGGAAAAGTCAAACTGAGCTGTCCTGTCTGCAAAGTGCTCTGTTCAAACAAGGCTGGAAGAGCCAGATTTTGGAAGAGCCCATTTGACCCTACACAAGTGCAGGAGGAACCCCAACATTCATCACATGCATCTCACTGCAGTGAGCATTAGGTTAAAACACAGGAGAGGACAGCAGCTTCAAAGCAACTGAATTTTGATTCTTGTCAGGGCTACAGAACTCTGAATGTTAAAAAGAAATCACCTTTTCATAAGAAGGTTTCAAAAGATCTTGTTAGACCCTTCATTTATTCTCTTCTAGAAAGCAAAAATGCAGATGAATCAGTAATTGTGAGAGGTGTGATCTGGTTTTCTCTGAAGGGATACACAACTACCTTTAGAGTTTTAGTCCCCAAAGGTGGTTCCAGCTTCTAATTACAGGGAATTAAACTATTAGCCAAGAGTAGTAACTCACCACTGAGATGGGTGCAGACATTCTTCTGAGTATTGTAGGCAATATGCTACTCATTCTTCAAACACAACACCAAGAAATGTGATTTACAGTCATTGGAAGCTCTTACTGGCATTGCTAAATGGTAATTCTCTATATATTATATCCTGTTCTCCCAAAATGAATGAAAAATTAAGATATTCTTTCCTACAGGAAGCCAAGGTTCCCAGCTAGATGGATTCCACACTCCTGCAATTCCAAGCAAACCACAATAAAACAGACACTTAAGCTGCATTGCAAAAAGTCCAAATGAAGTGGAAAGTTATACCTTTTCATTAATTCATTTGTGCAGTTTCTTCCATCTCAGCTGGGACATTAGTTTTTAAAATACAAATTTCCTTGCAACTCTCATCAACTGTGTACGAGCTGAACAGCAGAAAGGGAGAAAGGTCTAATTGAATGTCCCATCCAAGGGCATTTCACACACACCAGAAAGAGAGGCCAAGGAAAGATCTGCTGTCATTTGGAGGCTACAAACCAGCAAGGATCAGGGGCTGGAAGCACAACAGCTCACAAAGGCTCAGCTGCACCAGGAGCTCAGACACTAAACAGGAGATGGAGGCTTTCATAAAAGGAGATTAGATCAGGCTTTTCAGACAAGAAAGAGCTTTAAGAGGCAGATGTTCAGAGAGAGGAAGATGAAGGGAAGCACTAGGCACAATAAGGCTTTTCATGCTGTCAGATATTCAGGAATGTCAGTCTTTAATTTTTGATGATGCTGCTTTAGATCTCTCCTGCTTTCTACAGTAGCCCTGAGAAGTGAAGGCAGCAAGTGCTGCCCTGAACTGCCAAGAGCTCTTCTCTGGCCCCTCCAGGCTGCAGAACATCCCAGTACTGAATAAAAGCATTGGCTCAAAAGCACCAAATTGCTCAGCAGCAAACTCTGGCCCTTGGACTGATACTGCACTGCCTATTTAAGGCTAAAACCTCACTGGATATAAAGCACCTCCAGGGCTCTCCCAAGTCCTCTGTGGGGACCTCATTACAAATATGAAGCACAGGAATATTCCCTCTGGTTTGCTTCATTTAAAGCATCCCTTCCTTTGTTTCAAGCACTCCAGATAAATCCCAACAGATTGTGGAAAAAGACAGCACTGTTTTGATGAGATGCTCATCCTGACACTCCGTGTGTACCACCAAACCTGCTCTGGACTGTCAGCGTTTTGCATTTTACAAAATATTTCTCTGACAAAAAGGTTTTTTCCAGAAGATAAAATCAGACATCACAGCAAAAAGTAATGCACAAAGAGGAGTTTAAATCTCCTGCCCCTCCATGAAAAACCACACATAAACCCCAGTTGTTTTGAAGATCAAGTTTAAAACACCCTACATGTCTCATTAAAAATAGACCACTAATTGCTTGTGCACAAATCTAGTATTTTACAGTTAATTTTGCAAGTCTTTAACATAGAGACACCAACACTGGGGCTGCAGGAAGAGAAGAAAAACCTGAAAACCTTCTGGCAGCACAAGCCCACACAAGCAAAACTCCCCCTGGCTTTAGGAGATAAACTGATATGTCTGAAGCAGATGGACAAAAGTCTTTCTTTGGCAAGTGGACACTGCCAAACACAGGCTTGAGAACAGGGTTTTTCCTTCCTTGAAATTAGTGCAAGTGTTAATTAGCAGCTTAGCTGAACAGCAGATCCAAAACCAAAGTTAAATTCATGGTTAGGCTTTAGCTTTCATCAGCTGCTGGGAGGAGCTCACACAAAATCAGACATTTGAAAAAGAAAGGGCACACAAAGCTCAAGAAACTTAAACATCAGCACAGCTTTGGCTCAGTCATTTGGAAATTTGCAGTGTTAATAAAAAGGAAGCCTACTCACCCATTCTGTGAGAAGAATTTCTTGTAGATCCAGAAGGCTGCCAGGAGCACCACAACTACCACAATCACTTCAGGAAGAATTCAAGTGAAAAAAAATAAAAGCACCTTAGAGTGATAAAGATCATCTCCAGCTCACAAAAAAGCAACAAAAAATTTGCAGGAATAGCCTTGTTTTCATGTACAGGTCTATCCCACCTCTATCCCCCCAAAAACCCCCACAACCCAACTTATTTATGGAATGAGCCATGTAAATTAAATATTTGATTCATCAAGATAGCTCAGCTCAGAAGCAGTGACCACCACGATGGCAAAACCCCAGCAGCTCAGAAACTAAAACAATGACAAGGCCCCAGCATTGCTTTTGACAAGTTTGTACAAATCTGGGTAACAAAAGCAAGGACAGAGGATGGACTGAACACTTCTGTTCACTGGCAGAGTTATTTACTCACACCCCCAGTAAACCCAAGCTCTGAAATTTATCCAAGTGGCCAAGTTGTTGGAAATTGCCTTTGAAATGTGTCCTCACCACGTGAGAAAATACACATTTCATATTAAATTAAGCTATAATAACTAAGCAATCTTTTTTTGACTCATGCAGCTTTAACCAAAACTCCAACATCACCCTGTTGCAGTCACAGGTGAGTGGAATAAAAAATGGATTCTCACGTAAAAAATGTAATTTGTATCGTATTTTTTTAAGGTTTTAGAAAATACTTACCACAGATGATGGCTATAATGTATCCACCTGAAAACAGAAGGAATCAGTATCACAAGAGGAACATAAGTGCTTCTTACTCAAACATTATTATAAAAATATTCACAGAGCAATTTCAAGTCAAGTACTTCTATCAACACAATCTTTGAAGCAGACTAATTTACACAATAACATTTAACTTAGAATATTAATATTTTCATTCATTTTAACAAACCCTATTTTTCACATCAAAACAAAGGAAGCAGCTGCATTAAATTATTTCTCCTGAATATTGAAGGACTGTTGTCTCAGCTGTGTTTTCATCCTGGTGGGGATTTTGCAGTCCATACTTACTGAGCTGGCAGGTTGGCACTGCAGGCTCCCAGTGGTTGTTTCCAATGTACTGAATCCGAGCCTCCCCGTGCAAGGTGTACCCCGTGTAACATTCAATGGTAATGAAATCCCCCACAAAGTAGGAAGGTTTTTGTCCAGCTATCACTCTCCCATAACTTATGACTGGCGTGGAACCAGAACCTTCAGGCTCACCTGGAAAGAAAAGGGCGGAGAAAAAAAAATTAATAATAAATGTATTACTACATTTAGTAGATATTTAAAACTTGTCAGCGTGTCCTGATTTTAGCAGTTTTACTCACAGGTACAGTGCTGCAAAGCACCCCAGGAACTCTGTTCTTGACAGGTCACTGTCATCTCTGCAGAGCCACCAGGGAAGGAGCAGCCAGCATTGCACCTGATCTGCACAGACTCTCCTTTTGCATAGGCAGGCTTGCCTGGAATCAGGACCCCATTGGGGATCTCCGGGGCAGGACACACATCTGCAGTAACTAACACAGCAATTTAAAACAAGTTTAGTGAGAATAAAGCTCATTTCATAACTCAGTAACTCATTCTACAAACACAAGTTGCCTTCATGTAAGAAAAACAGCTCAGCACATGGCAGAAGTTTAACTGTACCCCAATTTTAAGTGCAAATATTCCCTTTAGAAAACTTAAACATCACTGTAGATATTAATTAGGGTAATACAATCCTATGACGTGGCAGCTCAGAAATCCTCACTGGTTCATTATTTCTCTGAGCTGCAGAATCATTTCTAGAAAGTAGGAGCTGAAAAGCTGAATAAAAAAACACACACAAAGATTTCAACTCCTCCAGAGGGATACCACAGCTCTCCTCACCATGCACACTCCTAATTCTCTGTATCAAATATTTTCTCCTGCATTCCACATCTTTTCTCCTGCCTTCACCCATGACATCACTACAACACCAGGATGCTCTATTTTAGCTAAAACACTTTCAACACACAAGAGAAAAGGGAATATTTCAGAAAGTCTTACTTTTCTCACAGGTTGGTTTTGGAGGATCCCAGGTGTTATTTTCTTCACAGGTAATTACCTCTGCTCCAACCAAGAAATAGCCTTGATTACACTCAAACACAACTGAGTCCTTGTATCTGTAGGTAAGTCCAAATCCAGATTTTTTTCTCCCATTTTCAACTCTGGGGTCTTCACATTTGACCACTGAAAGAGGTAAAACATTTGTTACCACAAACAAATGTTAACAAATGAAAACAAAGCTTGGACACATCTGTTAACACAAACATTTGTTAACAAATGAAAACAAAGCTTGGAAACATCAGCTAACACAAACATTGCACCAAACACAAACATCCTTTTCCCTAGTGCCAATTTCCCCAAGTTGTTTTGGAGAAGCTTTATAAAAACATTGATTCCTGCACTTCCATGGTGGCTGTGTTTTTAGGAACAGGATTCTTCCTTAGCTTTTTACAAGTCCTAATCCAGCCCCCACCTCCTTGCCCTTGACACAATTTTTCTGCAGGATTTGTGGTCTCCCATTTCCTTCACTTTGACCTTGTCACTTCTACCAACAGAACGCTCACAGAGGTATTTTTCAAGCTTTAACTTCAATTTTAGTCACATTCTGTGTCATAATCCATCAATATCCACCATGCTGATGTAATTTCCTCTGGAACTGTACCAAACTTTGTACCAGAGCATTTGTTCCTTCTTTCCTAGAGGCAAAGTCCATTCTCCCCACCCCACTTCCAAGGAAATGGCCAGACATTGAAAAAAAAAAACAACTAAAAATCCCAACAACCTCGACATTCTGGAGGTGGCCCACTCCAAACTCCATTTGAGTGTTCATCAGATGTGCAGTGAATCGTGTCTGAGCCAATGAGGGAGAAGGGATCACTGCCCTTGGGGACATCCTGACACCTGTAGGTCACCGAGCTCTGGTACACGTAGCTGGCTCTTTCCTCGTAGTCCCCGTTGGCTATTTTGGGAGGTGGCTCACAAGGAATTCCTGTAAACAAAGCACAAAAATTGGTTTTGCTGTGTTAGCTGGTTCACCTCAAAGAGCAAGCCTTGGTTTTCCAGTCATTTTACTGAAAATCTGACACGGCCACTCAAAGTCACACTACAGAACCTCAGCTTCAACAGGAGGTTGATTTTAATATGAGATAATAATATGAATAATATGATTTTAATATGAGATAATTACCACCAAAAGTGACATTTTTCAGTGGTCATTCCTCAGGCACAATCCAAGTAGTTAAGAAAAAAAAAATCCCTGTTTTCCCATCATTTTTTATACTGGAAAGTCGGTGGCACAGCTGTTTGTAAATGAACTTACCCCCCTCTGAGCAGAAAATCAAACACAGCAGTAATTTACTTACTTTCACAGTAAGGCAGAACTCCACTCCAGCCAACATCTCCATTCTTGATATCACAGGAAATCTCTCCCTTACCCCGTAATCTGTACCTAGACAGGTAAAAATTCTGAAGATGTGAAACTTACAATTTTTCATTTCTCCAAGAAGCACCAAAAAATTGGTTCTTATCAGTAATCCTGTTCTGTGATTACAGGGACATAACACAGCAAGGTTTTACTGTAATGAGAACAGAATCTTGTTTATTTTGCTGACAGTCTCACTTTGAAAACAAAACAGAAACAAAAGACATCATTAAGGAACTGTGGCAGTCTTACCATTTTCAGAAATATTGTCTAATACTAAACTCCTAAAATTACTAATACTCAAAGAAAAGGGAAAAAAAAACCAACTCCTTAGTGTTGTTGACTTAATTATTCAATAATGAAGGATGATGAATATGTATCTACTCCCTCTGCCACAGGAGCATTAAAAGAAGTCACCAGAGGTAACACTCCAGTTCTACAGAATCTCACTAAAAAGCTTAGGGTTGATGCAAAGAGTAATTAAACCAGGGAATTAAATTTAGCTGTAAATTTAAACTTCACTTGCTACAGGTAGAATTCAGATTTCAGGTCAGAACTGGAACAGAAAATTTGGGTTTATTTCAAATCTAGTGTAAACATTAAAAAAAAAAATCATTAAGTTCATCAAAACACTTACCCTTCTTTACAATGAAATGTCAGTTTTGAACCAAAGGTAAGATCTGTTGGATCAAAATAACCATTTTCCAAGTCTCCTGGGTAAATACATTTTCTCGCTGGGATAAAGGAAAAAAAAAAAAAAAGAAAAGAAAAAAATATACATTTTTGTAGTTACATACAAAAACAAAATCTTTGGCACTCATTGCTCTTACCCACACCAGCATTTTCCAAGCTTCATTTAAAATATGGCAAAACCCTAATTCCCACTTGCAAATCAACTGGAACTGTCAAATATCAGTGGGGAAAAAAGGGGTACAACAAATTACCTGTACAGAACACGCCCTTGGGTGACCACTCCAAGTCCTCACCACATGTCCAGGTCAATGCCTTCCCTGGGAGCCTCACGTATCCCGGCCGGCAGGTGAAGGAGATTTTGGTCCCAGGTGGAAAATCCTGGATTTCCCTGGAGCTCTCGTCGAGCTCTGCGTACTGCAGCCGCTCCGGCCTGGGACACGCGCCTGGGAGAGGGAGGAAAAAACAACACAGCACCTTAGCAGCAAGAAGAGAACACCCTGAGGTGTAACAGCACAGGAGACAGAACCATGCAAGAGTTCTTGCCTGGGAGAGGGAGGAAAAAACAACACAGCACCTTAGCAGCAAGAAGAGAAACACCCTGAGGTGTAACAGCACAGGACACAGAACCATGCAAGAGCTCTTAAGGATATATTTGAGTCGTTTCCAATTTTTTAATTTAGGTTTTAACTGCATGCAGCGTCCAGCTCTACATGTGTATAGGGCACACTGCTCATTGTTTCCTAAGTTCTTTAGTCACTCTACCCAGACAATGCACTTCCTTCCAGATCCTATTTTCAGATTTTTGTCTGTTTGCCTTTTTTTTTTTGCAGTTAGACACACGCCTTCACTCACGGTACACCCATTTCGTTTGCTGCATGAAAAACAAACAAGCCAGCCCACTCACAGAGCTCATTGTCCCTTCTGAAGGAAAAAGGAAAGCGGGTCTAAGGGACAAAAAGCGGAGTTTAAAACCGGCTCCAAGGCCAGGCTGGCCGGAGGTTCAGCGGCAGGTGTCCCTGCCCGGGCCAGGGTGGAACGGGATGCGCTTTGAGGTCTCTCCCCAGCCGAACAGCGGCACAATTCTCCGGCTCGAACCCGCCCAAACCCTCGCGGTTGCACCACCGCCCTAAAACCATTTCCTCCCCGCTTCCCTCGCCCCCCCGGCCGGCCCTGAGGGCACCCTCAGCACCCTCAGCGGGGAGCAGGGCACGGCCACGATCCCGACCGCCCCGCGCGGCCCGCCCTCAGCGCGGCGCCGCCATGGCCGGGCCCGCCCGCCGGGCCCCTCAGCGCCGCGGTGACACCGCGGGGACAGCTCGGGCCGTTGTTCCGCCGGGGATCGCTGGTGTTCCCCCGGGCCGAGCTCTCCGTGCCGGTGTTACACGCAGGACTGCAGGGTTAGGGCGGTTTCCAGGCACAGCCGCTGTGTTGTGATGAGTTAATTCCCACGCGAATGACGCAGTCCCGGCTCGGTTCAACGCATGCTCAGGGAAGGCCCTGTTTGACCCGAAAGTGTGATTTTTAGCAGGGTAATAATCGCTGCTCAGCTGAAGAATACATCGGCCTTGAGTATTTTGCCAAATACATCATCAGAACCTTGATTTCCTTCATCCTTAAAGCTGGTTTATTCGGGGGTGCCCTTGACTAAGGGATGCTCCTTCCTGCTCCTTTTGTATGGATTAGGATTGAAAGCATACAAACATCTTCCACCAAAGAATACCCTGACTTGAAGTAATCTTGCAATATGTGGACATATTCCACATTTTCCAACACACTCAGCGCATTACAGCAAGGAGATTAAATCCTTTCCTGGGCAGCTCAAGGAAAGAGGATGAAGTCAAAGTGTATTTAAGTGTAACACTTAGAACACCAACAGTGATAAATTAAAAACAACAGCCAGCTCAGGATGGACATCCCCGTGCAGGGCTGCTCGCTTTTGGAAGTTAAATCCCCTGAGTGGCAGAGCAGCATTAAAATAGAACAGCCAAAAAAATTTTTCAAAAACCAAAGCAGAAAAGACTTAAAGTTCTAGGCAGGCCTAAAAGAAGACACAGAATTGTCATCATCAGCTTTTATTAGGTTAAGCATTGGTAGAGGAACACCGCACATAAGCGTTGCTGGAGGGAAATAAAGATGTAAATACAGCTGTAATTAAGACATTAATTAACACATGGTTGATCCCACCCTTGTGCAGGTATGTTTTGGTGGGCACAGGGAGACAGGGAATTGGGGTTATGGCCAGTGCATTATTAATTGTTTCTTCCTACCAAGGCTTGGCATTATCCACTTTGGTGGGTACCAAACTGGTTATCCAGTTTTTTGGGGACAAAGGAAATATTCTTCGGGAATATTCACAGAAATCCCTCAGAGGCAGCACCCACGCTGCGTGCAGTCTGAGCCTCACTAGATCCTTACAGTAACTGCTGAGAGCAGAAGAGCACTGAAGATTTACAGTAAAATGTCCTCTTTTTTTGGCACAGAATTCCAGTCTCCACGTGAGCGGCGCTTCCTCGCTGCGGGGAACGAGCCGGGTGCCTGGTGAGCAGCAGCAGCAGGGATGAGATCTCTTTCCAGCCTAGGAAAGAGATGATATCCTGGCGTTGAAATCAGGATTTCCTGGTTTTGTACTGGTGTGTAGAGATTCCATCGCCGCCCGGAGAGGGAGGAGGGAATTTCTGGGAAATGCTTTGTTTCACAGAAATCGCCCAAAACAACCCAAAACTGATATTGTTTGCATGTCCCACTTTGTAGGTGAAGTGCTGCTAACAGTGAAAATTCACTGCTGGCTGCAACAGATCCACCACAGAAAACAGATCCAGTTGCAAGTAAAAACACCATTGTAGCAAGTGTGAAAGCAATAAAAACCCCCCAGGAACCGAGTTCAGTGTCTTTTCTGACTCTACTACTGCTGAGGCAGTTTTTCAGTTTTTTCATAATCTGTACAAATTAAAAGCAGTTTTAAGCCAGAAGCAAGGACTGGTGTGGAAGTCTGACCTGAGCACACCAACCATCCAGATTGTGGAAAAGGAAAGACACACTTTGGAGGTGGCATCAGAAGGAAAACTGGATGTTTTCAAACCCAATTTAAATATTCTATTCAGCAAAAGAAAATATTCTATCAGAAGACGAAGGGGAAAGATGTTTCTGCTTGAATGATTGTATTAGGAAAGTAGTCATTCAAGGAAACAATGCAGTCAGCAATATAAACAAATGACAGTGTAGTTATTGCAGCTGTCACTGATATTTTGTGCTGAGGAATATAAATCCATACCTCCTATGGCAGACACGAGCCTTTGTGTTCTGTGTCTGGGTTCAGGGGGGTTCTGTAATTATAGTTTTCATACGTATGATAATAGCTACGTAAAAAAGAAGAAAACAATGAATTGCCTTGCAAAAGAACACTCAGTTGGGTTTCCTTTAAGAAAGAGAGGCTTGAAATAAAATTACATGACCACGCCATGAGTTCCAGGCTGTATCATTTGCAAGCCTGAGCTGAAGGTACAAAATTACAAAGCCCAGACACACTGAGGCAAATATTTCAAGTGTATCAAGTGTTATAAAGCTTGGGACTTGGCACCAAGGGACAGGAACGAACAGCCAGAGCTGCCTTACCCTTCCTTCTGCTTGGAAATTATTTTCCAGACAACACCTGCCCCCAGGAGCAGCAGAACTGCTGCAGCTGCCACTCCTGAGGGAGAAGAACCCGGGTTATTCTCACTGTGTGTGTCAAGTACACGAAATGCACAACAGGGTGTATCTGCTGAGTAAGCAGAGGGAGGCTGTGCCACTGAGGCCGCTGAGCTGGGGACAAAAATGTTTGTAAGCTGCTTACCTAGGCCTACTGACCCGGGCTTGGGGGATGCTGGAGGGAAGGGAAAAAAAAGGAAAATCAGTAAACTGTTCTACCAAAATACGGCATTTCTCAACTGTCCTTAATGAACACCAATAAACCTTTTAGAAAATCACAGGATGCTTTGGGTTGAAGGGATCTTAAAGCTCATCCAGTTCCACTCCCCTGCCATAGGCAGGACACCTTCTGCTGTCCCAGGATGCTCCAAGCCCTGTCCAGCCTGACCTTGGGCACTGCCAGGGATCCAGGAGCAGCCACAGCTTCCCCATGCCAGTGTCTCACTGCTAACACCCACAACACCAGATTTCTTAAAACCACACCCTTGTATACTTCCTTTAAAAAAAAAATACAGACACTTGCATGTTTAAAATGCATTTGCATGCTTCTGTACGATCTTTGTTTGGTTTACATTCCACTCACTCAGTTTACAGGCGGGCACGGGAGGGTCCCAGCTGAAATCCTCTTGGCACTGGGTGTGACTGACGCCTTCCAGCATGTAACCTTCGTCACATTCAAGAGTGATGTTAGTGCCAGAGCGATAAGTATTTCCTTTAATGGCTTTTTTAACACCTTGGACATCCGGGAATTCACATCTGATCTCTGAAATTGGAAGCAATAAGAAGAGGGCATTTAGAGGGAACACGAAATATGAGAAACGCAGCTGTGGGTTATTTAGGACATTGCTCTTGAATTCCTTCTGAGTTTAGCCAGGAATTAATTCTCGTTCCGCATTCTGCAGAACTGGGAAAGTGCCTCAGTCACATGGAATTCCAAACATCAGAGGAAGCAGGGACTCACCTTTGCACTGCGGGAGGGGCTGGCTCCAGGATCCCGACCCCGTGCAGTTGATGAAAGCATTCCCAACCAGTGAGTAGCCGGGATCGCAGCTGTAGGATACAGCGGCTCCGGGGGGAAAGGTGGCAGAGCTGTTGCCTTTCAGCCTCCCGTTGGTGATGTTTGGAGGCTGCTGACAATTCACAGCTGGAAAGTCAGGGAGAGACAATCAACAGGATGCTGAAGGGTGGCCAGGGAGTGACTGAGGCACTGACCCTCTGCAGCCTCAGCTGCTCCCTTTGAATTTCTTCCCCTGCACTCAACAGCCCGGACCCCTGTAACTCCAGCAGCCTTTGGAAAGGCTAAAAACTCGAGCTTGTTCTTATCACACACCCTGTACTCATATTTAGACCTACAGACCTTCCCCTAAGGCAAGATTTGTTAAATGTCCTTTGTTCTTCACTCTCTGCTGCCAAAACGCACCTTGACAGACGGGAGGGGGATGGCTCCAGGCTCCAGATGCTGTGCAATAAATGGATGCTGTCCCCAGGAGGGAGAAGCCAGGCTCACAGATGTAGTTTACAGATGTTCCCACAGTAAAAACTGCTTTTGCTGGGCCACGGAAAGACCCGTGGGTGATATCTGCAGGCTTGGAGCAGTGCAGCGCTGAAAACAGAGACGTGCAGATCAAAGCAGAGCTCAGAGAGACAAGAGGGAAAACTTCTGAGCAGCTGGGGAAGGCTGAAGCTCCCTCCCACAGCACTGACCCCAACAGCCCTGCCCAACCCTCTGCAAAGCTCCCTCAAAAAAGCAGGACAGCTTGGGAGGAGGAGTTAGTGATTAGTAAATCAAATTTTGCCTCTTCAGGTAAGAGACCTACCTGGCTTTGTTGTGGTGTCAGGGTGGTGATAACGTTCTGACACTCCATCTAAATGCAGCATTAAGAGTTTAGAAACATGGTTGAGCAAATAAAATGTACACATTTACCTTCATTTCCCATCATCCCGCTGTTAACATTTCCAGGAAAAAATTCACAGCTCTCTGATATTCAATATCCTGCAGCTACCAAATTCCTCATTTCCAGGGAATTAAGAGAATGTAGATTATGGATTGCAACAAGCAGAGTGAGAAAGTGCAAATCATGCCAGTACTTACAGCATTACCCAAGCCCTGGCTCATCTCCTGTGTGTGAAGAGAGGCACAAATGAAAGGAAAAATTTCTGGATTGTCCTTAAAGTAGTTGGAGCAAACAGGAAAAATAAAACCAACTTTGGCTTTGGAGAGCGGTCAGGAGAGAAATCAGGTGAGAAACCAGGAGGAATGTGCAATCCCACCAAGGCCAAGAGCTGATTCTTACCCTGCTCACAGACAGGTAGAGGTGGGTGCCACCTCCTGTCACCTCGGCACTGGGACGTGGGGTGGCCTCGCAGGGTGAAGCCTCTGCGGCACTTGAAGGTGACAGAGTCCCCGTAGGTGTAGCGGGGCTTGGGGACAGCCACCCTCCCACTGTGGATCTGTGGGGCTGGGCACACCACCCCTGAAAGAGAAACTCCTGTTTAGGGGTACAAAGCCATGAAATGAGCACATCCTGAAGTCCATTCTCAGTGTGCTCAGAGCAGCTTCACAGGTAGGACTTAGAGACTCAGATAAGAATAATTCCAAGGACTGAGGGGTTTTAGTTCTTTTAGGTACCTTAAGGGTACTACAGTATTATATATATAAACATAGATGGTGTGAATATATTCTAATAAATCTTAGAGACTCAGATAAGAATAATTCCAAGGACTGAGGGGTTTTAGTTCTTTTAGGTACCTTAAGGGTACTACAGAGAGATGGTGTGAATATATTCTAATAAACACATGAAATGGGGTAGAAGTCTGTCAGTACTGTCATTCTCAAGAATGCTTTACTATCCCAACCTCAAAAAGCAATTCCATCTGAAAAAAAGACTAATTGCAATGAGCAACCCCTGCAATACATCCTTGTGCTTTGGTTAACAGTACAGGCTTTGGAAAATTCCATTTCAATGCTACTCAAAATATCACTCTTCTATTACAAAACACACTTTTTACTTGATTTCTCATTTATTGTTGTGAAACAAAAGGGACAAGTCCCTGCAGGCATCTCACAGCTCTTCAGTCTGCATTGCTGTGACAGATCAAAAGCTTACATCTGGAAGAATTTTAGAAGAAACCAAATATACAAGCATAAAAAAAACATCCCAGAGGAATATTATCCTTTAATAGTCTTATTCATTTAATTCTATTTATTTAAAGGAAATGCTTTTTAATTTTAAGGATTTAATATGGCAATTCTGGCCCCGATATAGTGGTGACCTACTTACTCTGACAGATGGGAGGCAGACCAGTCCAGCCAACATGTCGTCCCAAAATCTCACATCTCCTGTGGGACTGTCCAACCAGTCTGTACCTGGAGGTGCAGAGAGGGAAATATCAGCTCATACCAAGTCCTGCAGCTTGGGATTTTCCCTCCCCAGAGGTTTCCTTCTGCAGCCTCCTGAATCCAGCTGATCACCAAGGTCTCTCTGCTGGTTTAACACGTGGGAATGAAGGACACCAAGTTGCTTCTTCCCACATCCAAGAGGAGCAACACTGACCCCAAAAACTCTGGGTTAGATTGGTCAGGTGATAAATGATGACCCAACTGATTTCCAAAGGGCTGGAGCCTCCTTGCAGCACGGCCTTGCTCCCACTCTCAGCTCCTGCTCGAGGCCATCTGAGAAGGAAAACTGAAACTGCTTTGCAAATTAATCTGCTGAGCACAGGAGGGAAAAATGAGACAATTCTCCGTTTCTGGACCAGGCAACTAAGGCAGAATTAGAACCAAAATTCCAATTCAGGTCTGCTGTGGGAGAACAGCTGTGCAGAGGAGTGGGCTCTGATCCTTTACCCAGCACCAAACTCGGACACGGAGGCAGCAAAGGCAGCGTGAGACTCACCCTTCATCACACGTGTGGCTCACGGTTGACCCAAAAAGGAGATCTGTCAGAACAACAACTCTGCCATTCCTGGGGGGTTCTGGGTGTCTACACTGCTTCCCTGGGAAAGAACAAGGCTGAGTTTAAGCTCCTCTCTTGAGGTTGTGTAACACACTATGAGAAGGTACCTTAAGGCTCTGTCCAAGTTCTGCCACCAATAAAGATGTGATTTCGAAAAGGCCCAAAGTGGCCCAGACCATGTGACTAGTAAAGCCATGTACCAATCTTTCCTTCAAAAACCCACAAAATACACAATTTCCAAAAACCAACACCAAATGGATGGAGCTATTCACTTTTACAGAACTCTAGGGCTTCAGACCACGTGTGGTTTTGGAGGCAAGTCAGAGTTTGGGGCACTCCAAGGCGTCTCGAGTGTCCCGGCCGGCAGCTGTAGCTCACAGTGTCCCCAACAGCAAATTCCTGCTGATTTTTGTATTCCCTGGTTAGCTCAGCAAAGGTGAGGTTTGGAGGTGCACCACAGCCACCTATCAGGGGAGAAAACGTAGGGAGAAACGGAGATGTCAACTACAAAAATTGTTTTAAAATGTATTTTGAGTAGGTACAGCTTAAAACCATTGTGCAAAATGGCTAAAAAAAGGGGAGGGTAAAGGATTCAGAATTTTGGAAAGGGTGAGGATGAGTCCTACAGGTAGAAACTCCCAGGCTATCCCTAAGTCCAAGCTTAGAACCACAGTGTACCTGCACACTGAGGGAGAGGGAGGCTCCAGTTGCCAGAGTCGGTGCAGTAGATGGATGCCTCTCCCCGGAGGCTGTAGCCAGGGTCACAGCTGTAGTTCACAACCATCCCAGTGGGAAAAACCTCCAAGTCCTGGCTGTCGTGGCTTCCTTTGTCAATATTTGGAGGTGAAGGGCATTGCAGCACTAAAGAGAGAGGACAAAACAGAACTGAGAAAAGGGCAGGGCCATGATGCTGGGACAGGCTGGGGAAGTTGGGGTTGTTCAGCCTGAAGAGAGGGCTCCAGGGAGACCTTAGAGTCTCTTCCAGTGCCTAAAGGGGCTCCAAAAAAGCTGGAGAGGGACTTGGGACAAGGGATGGAGTGACAGGAATGGCTTCCCACTGCCAGAGGGCAGGGTTAGATGGGATATTGGGAAGGAATTCTCTCTGTCAGGGTGGGCAGGCCCTGGCACAGGATGCCCAGAGCAGCTGTGGCTGCCCCATCCCTGGAAATGTCCAAGGCCAGGCTGGACAGGGCTTGGAGAAAGCTGGAATAGTGGAAGGTGCTCATGGCAAGGGTTGAAACAAACTGATTTTAAGCTTATTTAACTCAGTGTCATAGGAGAAGAATCACTATTTTCAGGAGTCTGCACAAACCCTCCAAAGGAGGGAGTGGTGAAGGGGAAATTACAAGGCTTCAGCGCACAATTTCAACCAATTAGAAGCAGCTGCAAAACTTACTTTTGCAAAACTCCTGGGCTTCAGACCATGTTAGATTTTCAAGACATGTGATAGTTGGTGATATCTGTGGCTGTTCCACGTATCCAGGCCGACAAGTGTAGTTCACAGACATCCCGACAGGAAACTCAGTCTGATTTTCATATTGCTCACTTAGCTCAGCAAATAGCAACGGTGTTGGTGTGCCACAACCGGCTGCCAAGAAACAAAATGGGCATGAGAAATATGTCCTTGGCTGTGAAATGGAGCTAAAGAGAAACAGGTGCATTGATAGGCCCTGTTAAACCCCAAGTTATTAATGCATCTTCTATGTAGTCTGACATTTGTCTGCATCAAATAACACTCAGCATGTGAGGACACAGGCACCTAATTTATGTGGCCTTAAAAATCAGGATAAAACAATGCCCAAAAAATAGTGTGGGCGGTGTGGTGCCTTCACATGACTCTGAGCTAAAGTACAGAAATCTTTAATTTCAATATTTAGAACACCCAAGCCTGTCTCCTTTTGGGAAACTTGAGCAATGCCACCAGCTTATTCCCAGTGCCCCCAAAGTGAGCACAGCTCCTGCTGTGGTTCTCCCTATGCCATGCAATCCTGCAGGTTGGCAGGTTTGCCTGATCCAGGGTGAGCCTGGCACGGGGTGGATGCTGAGCCTGGCATGGGATGGAGGCTGAGCCTGGCACAGGGTGGGTAGGGAAGCCCCTACCTGCACAGCGTGGGTAGGGAAGGCTCCAGTTGCCCCAGGCTGTGCACAGCACGGAGGGATCCCCGAGCAGGGAGAAGCCGGGCTGGCAGCTGTAGCTCACGGAGGTGCCACTGGTGAAGTTCATCCCCGGCTGGGCGCTGAGCGTGGCGTGGGCGATGACGGGGGGTGGAGGGCACAGCCTCACTGCCAGGGAGGAGCAGAGAGCAGAGCTTTAGGGGTTTCACCCAGAGGAGGAGCACTGCTACCACAGCCAAGCCCCTCTCAGCTGGCTCACCTGGCTGGCAGGTGGGCACAGCAGGCACCCAGTGGCTGTCGGGCTGGCACTTGGCCCCACGGCTGCCCCTCAGCACGAAGCCTGGGTGGCACTGGAAGGTGACATTGTCCCCAGGGTGGTACACAGCCCTCCGGCCCTCGGCCACCTCTCCGTCCTTGATGCTGGGGCTGCTGCAGGTGATCACTGGGAGGGAAAAGCAGCAGAGCTCGGGCTGGGGGCACGGCTGCCAGAGCTGAGGGTGCTCCTCTGGTTTTGGGAGCCCGTGTGAGTGCAGTGCTCTCCCTCTGCACTGAGGGCAGCAGCATTTGCAGCTCACCTTCACACCGGGGGTAAGGGATGCTCCAGACTCCCGATGGCAAACAGGAAATCGTGGTTTTCCCGGTGAGGACGTAGCCCGGGTCACAGCGGTACTTCACTGCCATGCCAGGGATGAACTCTGTCACCCCCTTGCTGTCGTGCTGGCCATTTCTGATAATCGGAGGGGAAGGACACGGTGGCACTGCAAGGAGGGGAAAACATCCCAGCTAGCCAAGAGCTGGTACCACAAACCTCCCTGCAGGGTGAGGCAGCCTTTTAGCTTTGTTCTTTCCCATTAACTCCTGCCCAACAGCAACAAGAGCTGTCACTGAATGATATTTCCATCCTACCCTCTCTTACCTTCCAGCCTTCATGTTTTCTGAACTTATTGACATAAAAATGATAGCTTCTCACTGTTTAGGCAACTACAGTGGTTAGTTTCCATCTGTGACTCTAACAACTTGCTCTGGTCTTTCTGTGATTGTGAATGGTATCAGGCACCAGCCTGACTCACTGGATTTTGTGGATTCATTTAAAGAGACCTACATTTCACAAGGGTGTGAATCACAGAAACATTTACGTTGGAAAAACCCACCACTACCCCATGTCCCCAAGTGCCACACCCACATGTCTTTTAAATCCCTCCTGGGATGGTGCCACATGATGCCCACACCTCCCCAGGCAGCCTGTTCAGGGGTTTGGATGGCAATTAGGAGGATGGCAGGATATAAACTTGCATGTTTTTCCTTTCCAGCCCTTGAGAGCAGCCCCTTTACCTCCACACACGGGTTCAGAAACCAGCTGCCCCTCATCTGCACTTACGCTTCTCACAGCTGGGGACAGGAGGGTGCCACTTGCCCCCAAACTGGCACTGGGACTCTTGAGAGCCCTTCAAGGCATAACCAAAGTTGCACTCGAAGACAATGATGTCCTCCAGGCTGTAGGTGGTCTCTGAGCCAGTCACTTTTCCATTCTCAATCTCCGGCTTGGTGCAGCCAGTTGCTGGAAGGGAAGAGCATGAGATGTGAAAAGCTGGGAATGTGAAACCCCCCCTGGCTGTGGAGGGGCACTGGGCAGGGACCAGTGCTGGACCTTGCCATCACTGTCACGGGCATTTCAACACTTCTGACTCTTGTTCTTCCACTAAATATCATTATTCAGCTGTTCCTGAGCGTTTGTACTCAGCGGGAACAGAAAGGGAAACCCACAGGGGCGCATGGGCTCCTCCTGCCCCTGGCACCTCCGCTCTCTGCCTCTCCCTGGGGATTCCCTTGCAGTGATTAAACCAAGAGCCAGGAAGGAGGAAGGAGCCCGGGGCCAGGCAGAGGAAGCCACAGAACACACCTCGGCAGCGGGGCTGGGGCCGGCTCCAGGTTCCCCTGGCCGTGCAGCGGATGGAGGCGTTGCCCAGCAGGGAGTAGCCCTCGGCGCAGGTGTAGAGCACCACGGAGCCCGGGCTGTGCCAGGCCCCGGGGCTGGCACCGTGCTGCCCGTTGGCAATGCTCGGGGGGACAGGGCACCTCACCTCTGCCGGGAACAAGGAAAGGCAGGTGAGGAATAGGGCAGGGCAAGATAAACACCAAAAACCCCGACCTTCTGAAAGCAAAGCAGGGAGATAGCGCAAGTGCAGTCAGTCAGGACAAGGTGATATGTAACTTTTCCAGGAATTTTCCTTAGCTCTTTTCTCCATCAGAGACCAACATCCTGGTTTTTAGAGCTTTTTCAGAAGTAATACATCGAATTAAATTGTAATGAAAACTGAAGCAATAATAGTACTCCCCCACCAGCATCAAAAAGAAAAATCTGTTATACTAAAGCGCCAGCAAATAAGCATTCGATGCGTAGAAAAATGATTTAAAAATTATAAATTCTCCGAGTTGTTTTGAACACTGACATTAACTGCTGTGAATGAACAAAATCAGTCGTATGAGCTGCGTCCCCATGGGTGCAGGCCCTGTCCCTTGTGCCAGGGACAGCCTGGCTGTGGGCACACCCCGAGCCGTACCTTGGCACCGTGGCACTGCCCCGCTCCACGTGCCGCGCTCCCCGTCCGCAGAGGTGCAGGTCAGGGAGGCGTCTCCAGCTGGGGCCAGCCCCGAGGCACAGCTGTAGGTGACCACGTCCCCCAGGGAGAAGGTGTCCCTGGAGCCCCCGCTGTGTGTCCCCTGGGGGATGGCCGGAGGGGCAGCGCAGGTGACACCTGTGGGCAGGACAAGGGGAGGGTCAGCAGTGCCCGGGGCTGCAGCGCACACACGCTGCCCAGGAAGGGCAGGGATGGGGAGGAAACCACCTCAGCAGTGACACAACCACCTGATTCTGCAGGAACAAACTTCGCATGGATAAAATCACACGTGGGAAGGAAAATCTGTCCCCTTCTGTGAGTCACTTCCTTGCTGCTCGTGTCTGGAGGTGCTGGGACAATTCTTACCTCCCTTTCCGTAACCATTGGTGACACAGAGAGAGAGACTGGCCAGTGAGAAATACTTACCCACTAACAGGCAGTTTAAAATATTAGTGTTTCTTCCCAGTTTGGACCAGAATAAATAAAAGACCTTTGAAACCATTCTCAGAAGCACATCCAAACCAAAATAAAAGAAAAAGGAAATATTTTACACATTCAGTGACTTGAGAAATCTTTTGCAATAAAACCTTTGGCTTGAAAGAAGTTCCACTTTATCTTGTAAACCATCTCCAAGGGCCTGTTGTGGTGGCCTACTTACGCTGGCAGACAGGAGGATCCCCACTCCATGAGACATGTGTGCCAGAGACCTCACAAATTCTCTGGGAGCCTCCCACCAGCTTGTACCTGGACCACACAGAAGGATTAATTCTTTTAACAGTGAGATTTTTTTCTATTTAAGATTTCTTTACAACCCTTGCAAGTGGCAGCCAGGAGTTTCTGACTTGGGAACTGGGTTGTGTAAAGCTGAAAATCCACTTCACTGTCCCCAGGGCAGGACTCACCCTTTGTCACAAGTGTAATTAATTTTGGACCCGAGGAGGAGATCTGTCAGGACAACAGCTCTGCCGTTTGCTGGGTTCCCTGGGCTGGGGCACTGCTTCCCTGGAAGGGAATGCCAGCCTCCATCAGCCCTCGGCTGTGCCCACATCCCAGCAGGAATGTCACCACAGACAGCAGGCAGAGACACCCACGGAGCTGGGGAAAATGGAAACCAGCCAAGCTCACACTTGGGGCTTTCAGCACTTGCAGGACGTACTTTGACAGAACTCCAGCGCTGCAGACCACGTCTGGTTCCTGAGGCAGGTGATGGCTGCTGACACCCCCGGGAGCTGGCTGTAGCCAGGCTGGCACACGAATTCCACCCTGCTCCCCTCGGGAAACACCGTCTGGTCCCTGTAGGGCTCCTTCAGCTCGGCAAAGCCCAGCCTGGCAGGGGCTCTGCAGCCAGCTGCCAGGAGAGAGAACAGCCTGGATGTTAAAGAGCCACAAAAGGCGGATTTGGGAGAGCAGGGGAAGGTTGAGCCCTGTTGAGACACTTGCCCTGCTCGCAGACGGGCACAGGCGGCTCCCAGGTGTTGTTTGGCTGGCACTGGATCTCTCTGTGGCCACGAATGGCATAGCCTGGGTCACATTCCAAGGTCACGGTGTCCCTGTGTGCGTAGGCAGACCTGGCAGCCACGATCCTCCCGTGCTGGATCTGTGGGACAGGACAATTCGCCTCTGGAAAAGAAAGAGGTGCAGGTGCTCAGAACGGGCCCTCAGGCAGAGCTGGGCAGCTGTGGAGCCACCAAGGGTTGTTGCAATTTTAACACAGTTTTAAACAAGCCTGAAACTCATTTTCCCTAGAGAAGATGTTGTGCCTGCATCCTGCGATATCAAACATCTCCAAGGACAAAGGGGACCCTGGGACAGCAGGGTGGCACTCCAACCCCCCCTACTCTGGATAATGCTGGATTATGCTGGGGCAAAAATCCCAGCTGGCTGCAGTTTCCCAGTCATTCCCAACACGGAGCAGCGATGCTGGGAGGATTGCTGGGGGTCCCTGCACCCTCAGGCTGCCCAGCCCACCTCCGCAGGCGGGCAGGGGCTCGCTCCAGACGCCGTTGCGGCCGTCGCGGGTGGTGCAGTGGATGGAGGGCTGCCCGTGCAGGGGGAAGCCGCGGTTGCAGGTGTAGGTGACGGCCGTGCCGTAGTGGAACTCGCTCAGCAGCTCGCCCGAGTGCTGCCCGTTGGGGATGTCCGGGGGTGGCTCGCAGGGGATGCCTGCAGGGGTGCAGAGCCTCAATTCAACAGCAGCACCAAACCCCTGGGACTGTGAGGCACAAACACTTCTTCTAAAGATGGGAGGAACTGACCTCCCAGGTGAGATCCTGGGAAGAGGATCCCACCCACCCTGGCACTTCTACAGAAAGCATAGCAGTAAACAAAGCTCTGTGGAGGATGCATGCTTTGCATTTTCTTCTTTTTAAGAAATAAGAAATCGAATACTTATTTAGCATCACTGGGATAAAATCCTGGTGCCAGGTTGTGCAATAGGCACAGTCTGTGTGTCACCTGTGGTTCACACCCACCTGGAGAAACTGGGAAATGCTTTAAAACCCCAGAATGTACCAGCAAACGTTTCTTTCTTCGTGTGAAATGGCTGTGATCAGCAGAGAAAGGCCCAGGTAGAGTTGCTGAGGAGCAGCACAGCAGCTCTTGGGCACTCACCAGCGGTGGAGAGAGGGAGCAAACCCACACTCTGGGATTTTGGGATTCGCTGCTGGCCCTGGCTCAGTGCTCTGTCTCTCCTTAGGACTGACCCTTGTTCTCTCTGGGTCTGACAAAACACCCCCTAAGCTCAACATGTTTTCCCTTCCTCTCCTGCACTGGGCTCCTGGTGTCAGTCAGAGCAGGACACAAGCACTGCTGGAAAAGCTCCAGCTGAGGTGTCTGAGCTGTTGCTTTCCATAATCCCTTCAGCTTTGGGATCTTGTACTTTTCCCCAGATTGCTTTCTTACAACTTCCAAACCTTCTGGTAGTTTTCCTGCCCACAGTGGGGAGAAATTGCCTGTGAAAGCTTTGATTGGATAGATGTGGCAGTCTCTGCTGGAAAATATTCCCCAGATCCTTGCAAACCCCCAGAGCCATGAGCTACTTACGCTGGCAGAGGGGAGTGTGACCAGTCCATGCAACACGTCCCCCAGAGATCTCACAGCGTCTGCTGGGCTGTCCAATTAACCTGTGCCTGGTGTTAAAAGGGTCGGTCATTCCCCCCAAGCCACTTCAGTTGGAGTTATTGTTCCTCCCACCTGGGATGTGGGATCAGCCCTGCTGGCAGCACAGCTGTGGCCCTGAAGGGGAGGTTCCTTCCTTGCTCTGCCCAACCCATTTCCCAGCATTTATAGGGGATATGGATATATATATATATTTAATATATGTATATATATTTAAAAAATAAATATATATATATAGACACTGTAGTGTATAGTCACAATAGGTACAGAACCCTCTACAGGGGCTTCTGTACAGAATCCATTTACTGGGAGTGAATGAGCAGGGGTTAAAAAGGGGGACACTTACCCAATCCACGTCCAGAGCAGGACTTACCCTTCCTCACAGCTGTAAACCACTGTAGACCCAAGCTGGAGATTTGTCAGGGAAATAATCTTGCCATTCACAGGCTCACCTGGGTGACTGCACTGTTTCCCTGGGGAAGGAAAACACCCTTATATCCTGCCTCTCTACATCACAGTACAAAATATTCAATTATTCCTCCAGTCCCCTGCCCACATTCCCAGTTCCCCCCAACACGGGTTTCCAATTTCAAAGGGTTACATGGCTTTACTAGTCACATATTCAGAGTAACATCAATGTTTTGGCAGCATGGGCAGAACCTGAGACCTGTTCCTCCTGCAACAACAGACACCAAATCAAGGAGCTATTCACTTTTACAGAACTCTAGTGCTTCTGACCACACTCCACTCTCAAGGCATGTCATAGTAGGTGACATTCCTGGCACTTTAGCATATCCAGGGAGGCAAGTGTATTGCACAGTCTTCCCAACAGGAAAATCAAAGGCATTTCTATGCTCCTCATTTAGCTCAGCAAACTGTAACCTTGTGGGAGCACCACAAGCACCTAGTGAGAGAGAAAAGAGATGTGAGGAGCAGGCAGGACAGGCACATGGGGGCAAGCACACAAAGAGCACTGTTAGGAGGAAAGGGGTTTGGTTTGCCTTGCAAAAATGTTCATTTTGATTAATATAGCCATTAATAAAGACATTTTCCCAAAGGCTTGCAGAAGATTAGGTTCTTATTCCCAGGACAGGCTTAAATCATCCCCAAAGGGTTTAACAGCATTTTTTAAACAGGATAAAGGGACATAAAATAGCAGTTATTCAGGTACCTGGAGACCTGGTGAAGGAGTTGTGGTGAGGCAGTGCTCTGTCACACACAGGAGCAGGGGGCTGCCAGCTGCCATCCTCCTGGCAAGACACGCTGGCACTGCCCTGCAGGCTGTAACCATCGTGGCACCGAAATGTCACCGTTTGCCCGGGGGCAGAGAGAAGCCCGTGGCCACCAACTTGCCTTCCATTGGCTACGATTGGATTGATGCAGACAGTCCCTGGAAATGAGGGTGTGCACGAGGAGTTGGAGCAACAGAAAACACAAAAGCACAGGTTGTTCGTGCTGGAGCCACAGAATCAGCGTGGTGTCCACACAAACCTCCCCAGCCACGGGAAGGCCTGGCATTAATTGATTCCATGGTACACTTTACATGGAATTAACCCTCTTGGAGGATCTGTTTGCACTGGTGAGGGTGTCCCCTGTGCTCAGGGCCACACTGAGTTTGTCCCTGAGGGGACAGAGCCCAGACTCACCTTGGCAGCGAGGGCGGGGCTGGCTCCAGTTCCCCGATGCTCTGCAGGACACAGCGGCATTTCCAACCAGGTAATAGCCAGGATTGCAGCTGTACTTGACAGACATTCCCATGGTGAATCCTGCTATGCTCCGCCCGTTGTGATTGCCATTGGCGACCTCCGGAGGCATCGGGCACGGCCGGACTGCGAGAGGGAGATGAGAAATTTAACTCAGCGAGGGAGTGAGGAGCGAGGATGTGCACGGATGGGTCAAATCACGGATGGGTTAAATCCCTGCCTGCACCCCTGTTCCTGAGCAGCACTCACCCCTCTGGCACACAAGGAGTGGCGGGTCCCAGACACCCCCGGGCTGGCACCGAGCCTCATCAGAGCCCTCTGTGGTGTAACCAGAATCACAGCCAAAGCGCAGAGTGTCTCCAGCTCTGTAGGTGCTCTGCACGTTGTGGACCTTCCCATTCTGCACCTCGGGTACCTGACAGCCGATCGCTGAGGGAGCAGGGACAGCGAGCTTTAAACTTCACTGCTTGGGTGCTGGATGCTGCACACACAGAGCCCTCTGCTCCCCTCCGAGCCACAAGCCCGCCTGCTCTGACCCTCCAGCACACCCAGCACCCCTCCTGCCTCCCCACCCCAGGAGAGAGACCCCCGCAGACCTTCACAGCGGGGCAGGGGCCGGCTCCAGAGGCCGGAGTCCGTGCAGGTGATGGACGCATTGCCGAGCAGCTCAAAGCCCTCCCTGCAGCTGTAGGACACGGTCACCCCCCGGGAGAAGCTGTCCCTGGAGTGGCCGCTGTGCAGCCCATTGGCGATGCTCGGTGGCCGAGGACATGTCACCTCTGCAGAGGGAGGGGAAACCTCATCAGAGTTTGGGAAAGATGATTTTGGGGAGCCAGCTCAGCCCCCCACTCCCGCATGTCAGACTTTGCGAGGACAGAGGGATCAAACCCCAGGTACTGCCAGCTGCATCCTGCCAGCAGCCTTTGGGTCTCCTCTCTCTCCTCCGATTTTTCTGGACAAAGAGTATTGAAATTATTCATTTAAACTCAGCTGGTCTCCCCCTAAAAGCTGAGTCCCTCTCTCTGCCCATGCCTGCTCTCAGCACTGTCACCATCCCTGGATATGCTGGAGCACAGGGAGGAGGGTGCTGGCTCTGGACTCGTGGATTTCAGCTTGTTCTTTATATGTTATAAACCCGTATATTTCATTAAAATGGAATTTAGTCTCTCACTGAAGGTCTCAGTGGATTTGGTGAGGGTGTCCCCTGTGCTCAGGGCCACACTGAGTTTGTCCCTGAGGGGACAGAGCCCAGACTCACCTTGGCAGCGAGGGCGGGGCTGGCTCCAGTTCCCCGATGCTCTGCAGGACACAGCGGCATTTCCAACCAGGTAATAGCCAGGATTGCAGCTGTACTTGACAGACATTCCCATGGTGAATCCTGCTATGCTCGTGCAGGTGATGGACGCATTGCCGAGCAGCTCAAAGCCCTCCCTGCAGCTGTAGGACACGGTCACCCCCCGGGAGAAGCTGTCCCTGGAGTGGCCGCTGTGCAGCCCATTGGCGATGCTCGGTGGCCGAGGACATGTCACCTCTGCAGAGGGAGAGAAAGCGTCCTGTGGGTCTGCTCTGTGCTGGTTTGTGTGCTGCTGGCACAGCTCGGGGAACAGCAGGGAGATCTCCTGAGTTCTGCTCTGGGTTCATTTGCTGGATCAAGGCTTTCGTTCACTCAAGGTGCAGCTGCACCTGGAAGAAATCACTGGCAGTAACAGCAGTCCTGACAGGACTGCAGGTTCATCACAGGGTTTGGGGGGGATCCACACTGACGTGGAAGCAGCAAGAGCAGTGAGAAGTTGTGATTGCTCTCCACTCCACAGTGAAGGTGAAATTGCCCCACATCTGCCCAGAAGCAGTGTCAGAATTCCCCTGGCATTCAGACCCTGCCATCCCTCGGGGTTAACCTCTTCCCATCCCTCTCGGAGCCCCAGACAGGGCACAGCCCTCCCCATGTCCCCCTCAGCGTGTCCCTCTGGAGCTGTTTCTGTTTCTCTGCCAGCAGAGCTTGGGAAGGGCAGCCAGGACAGATCCAGCCTGGCTTTGCCTTCCCAGCGAATTTGGGAGGACACAAGAAAAGCTTTCCCCATGGCCAGCACTGGGACACTCAGGGGACACTCAGGGGACACTCATGGGACACTCAGGGGACACTCAGGAGACACTCAGGGGACACTCATGGGACACTCAGGGGACACTCAGAAGACACTCAGGGGACACTAAGGGGACACTCATGGGACACTCGAGACACTAAGGGAACACTCATGGGACACTCAGGGGACACTCAGGGGACACTCGGGGACACTCAGGTGACACTCACCCTTTTTGCACTGTGGCAGAGGGGGGTCCCACCTGGAGGTGGCCTTGCAGGTGCTGCTGCCGGGGCCCTGCAGGGCGTAGCCGGGGTTGCAGGTGACACTCACGGTGTCCCGTGTCCAGTAGGAAGAGCGCCGAGGGGACACCCTCCCGTACAGCACCCGGGGGAACGGGCACCGGGCAGCTGGGAGGGAGAGAAGGGACGTGCTGACCTGCAGAGCTGCGGGGATCCCGCCGTGCTGAGGGGTCTGTGCCCTGGGCACTGGGGGCTGCAGCTGGGGTGGGGGTCCCTGGGCTGCAGGACCCTCCCTGTGCTCCTCGGGGACCCCGCTGCCACCTCAGCTGACACAATCTGCGTGTCCAGGATTTCATGTCAACGCCCAGCAGGGTCAAGAGCCTTTCCTGGCCTTTCTGCAGGCTCTGAAGCCCCTCCTGAGGGCCCAATCCCACCCAGAAAAACCCTGACAGGGCAGCCCAGGACTGAGCCAAAGGCACCCAGGGATCTGTGCTGTGCCAGGGGGCTGGGGGTGCCCAGCCTGGGCTGGGGGTGCCAGCTGTGGCTCTGATGATCCCAGAGGGTCTCTGCCATCAGCAGAGGAGCTCAGGGCTCTGTGATGCCAAGGTCCACCTGGGACCAGTGCAGAGCTCCCATTTCCCTCGGCAGGGAAGGGCGCAGGGATCAGCGAGGACAGAGCAGGGATGAGGAGCAGGAGGGCAGTGGGAGGAAGGCCCCGGAGGAGCAGAGCTGCTGCCCTGCCTTACCTTGAGCCCCGGGCGTGGTGCTGAGGAGCAGAGCGCAGCTGCCCAGCAGGCAGAGGGTGAAGGTGGGCACCATCCCTGGCACAGACAGCAGCTCCTGGGGGCACAGGGCAGATATGGGCACCCCAGTTCCCCCCAGTGCCCCCGTGGGAGGAAGGAGATGCTGCTGGGGGACTTCCCAGGACTGTGGGACAGGAACCTGTGGGCTCCCCAGGACGTGCAGGCACAGCCAGCACCCCCAGGAGGCTGCCAGTGCCCCAGGCTGCTGCTGCTGCTGCTGGTTTTGGCAGGGGGGGATGTGGAAAGAGGGGTGACAAAGGGCAGGGTGCAGGCAGAGGTGCTGTAGCTGCACTGTGCCCGTGGTGCAGAGTGTCCCCCCCTTGGGGAAGTGGCCCAGGCGCTGTCCCAGAGCCCCAGGGGGTGGTGGTGGCACCTAAGGGACACGGCACAGTTCACCTGCCCAGGGGTGGGACAGGCAGAGTGAGGCATTCCGTAAAAATGGGACCAGTGGGGACACAAATCCTCCTGACCCGACCCTGGGCTCATCCCTCCCCACTGGCAGGAGGAATAAACCCCCAGACAGAATAAACCCCTGTCTCCTTTTGGGTGAGGAGCAGCCCCAGCAGCTCCAGCTGCCCACCTCACGCAGGTGACACTTCCTGAGCCTAAAGCAGGCAGCAGGACATGAACTGCTCAAATCCTTTTATTTCTTTTATTGAAGAAATCTTTTATTCAGCTTCCAATACTTACAAATCCAATGTTCATGCTTCAGAATTGCACTTGGTCATCTGCACTCAGATTATAAAGAGAAATGATGTGCAACTGGTTACAAATACAGTAAATAAACCCTCTCCAATGGTAAATTTTGGTGACCACACCTGTAAACAATGTTGCAGCATTCACAATTCCTTTCATCTGATTGTGGGGAGATAATTCGAAGCTGATCCCCAAATCTCATGTTAAATCATTTGGGAAAAAAAAAAAATCACTTTGGACTATGCAATATGAATAAATGTCCTTGGGATTAAAACAGCAAAACCAAACACAACCCAGAGCTGCAAGGCTTTAGGTTGTATTTTGTCCGTTTAGTCACTCACATTGCTTATGGTAAAAGAGAAATAAAAAAAATAACCAGCAACGTGCAAGTGCTTGTTCTGCAAGGCTGAAAAAACAGGATCTGCAGTGCCCCTGAGCAGGACAGTGCCCTGCTGGGGACAGAGAACTTGGGGGTCTGTCTGGAACAAGGCTGAAGTGTGGATGGAAATGGTTATTTGTGGGTTTCCTTCTTATGAAAGGCATGTTCCTGCTAGCAGGGGAAAATGAGAAACCAAAGGTCTGTAGTAGACACATTTTGGACAGTTCCTGTTCCCAGTGTGCATCATGAGAAGCTCCCAGATGGGTGATTTACCTCTGCAGCAGACAAAACCCCAAACCTCAACATTTTGCTTTACCAGCAGCTAAAAGTCTGAGCATCTCAGGCTTAGGCAGTCAAAATTCCACCACAGTGGTGTTGCCCTTCTAAACAGGAAACCTTCCAATCTTAGCTCCATTTTATGGCAGCTTGTCCAGTGATCTTTAGCCAGGCTGAGTGACAGCCAGGAAAGGACACCAGCCTTGCCATCAGCCAGAGAAATCCTGGGCATTTTGCCACGTGGTCCCTCCCTCAGCTCTCTCCACGCTCATACACATCCTCAGCACGGCCGCTCAGGGCACGCAGGATGAAACAAAGTGCCCAAAAGCTGTGGGGTTGGTGTCCTGCTCCCAGGACAAAGGTCTTTGGCATCGCCGTGGCATCACCCGGGAAGAGCTGCCCTTGAGTTCTGAGCAGCATTCCAGAAGTTCTGAGCAGAAGTTCTGAGCAATATTCCAGAAGTTCTGAGGAGCATTCCAGAAGTTCTGAGCAGAAGTTCTGAGCAGTATTCCAGAAGTTCTGAGCGGAAGATTTGAGCAGCATTCCAGAAGTTCTGAGCAGAAGTTCTGAGCAGTATTCCAGAAGTTCTGAGCAGCATTCCAGAAGTTCTGAGCAGAAGTTCTGAGCAGTATTCCAGAAGTTCTGAGCAGCATTCCAGAAGTTCTGAGCAGAAGTTCTGAGCAGAAGTTCTGAACAGCATTCCAGAAGTTCTGAGCAGCATTCCAGGTGGAATTCCAGTATTCCAGAAGTTCTGAGCAGCATTCCAGGTGGCTTCCAAAGCACTCCAGTCCCACAGAGCAGTGCCAGGGTTTCCTGGCAGTCACTCTGTCAGGAGGGAAAGGCAGAGCACTGCCCCACCTCCCTCCTCACAATTCCCAGGAAAGCTCAGGCACTGGACACCAGTGCAACAACAGCAATTAATTGAGCAGAAGCAATTAATGAACTTGATTACATCCAGCAAAGAATGAGACTGCAAAATCGTTTGAGCCACTCAAAGGAAGGCTTGATTAGTAAATATGAAATAAACCCCAGAGCCAGGACACCAGTTATTTTATTTTATTTTATTTTATCTTCATTTTATTTACAAAACAGTTTTACTATAAATACTGTAAATTTTGCCCTTTTGTCTGCACACTAGGAAAAGAACCTCAGTTAAAAAGAAGTCGTTTAAGAAATACAAATAAATCTTGTAAGATTGTGCAAAGAGGAAATTATTTTCCTAGAGCAAAGAAACGTTTACTGTCTTTTTTAAGTCTTGCTTTAAGAGCTGCAAAAATACTTGTTCATACAAAAATAAACAAAAAAAGTGGGCATTAAACCAACACAGAGGTGGGTTTGAAGTGTGTTTGGTTTTTCTGCTTCTTTGCCAGCTCAGGTGGAGTCAGAGCCTTGATTTGAGGTCCCTTTATTGCACTGAGAGCTGAATCCCTGCCTGGGATCGGTGCTGAACTCCCTCCTCAGCTCCTGGATTTATCCTGCCACGGGAAACAAGCAGGAATCAGGGGGAGTCTGAGCCCTGTGCCCCTCCCCAGGGACCCCGGGGTGTTTTTTGGGGTGCCCCGTGCAGTTCCTACCATCAGGTGCCAGGCGCTGGGGCTGGCACAGGTGAGCGTGGGTGGGCACCGAGCACACGGGGCAGAGGTGGCAGCCGGGGCTGTGCAGAGGGACCAGGTGGGCTGGGGTCCCCTCGCCGGCCAGGGGACACACGGGGCTGCTGGCTGTGTCCCCCTGGACAAGGGACAGGAGCTGTCTGTCCGTGCAGGGGGGGCAGACGGGGCCCTGGGGGCTGTGGGGACAGAGGTGAGGTGAGTCCCAGCGGGGTCGTGACAGCGCCTGCCCCTCTCCAAACCACCCTGCACCTACAAAAACTGCTTTCCTTCACAATTTCCCTTTTTAAACTCCAACAGGCAGTGATTCAAGAACGCAGAGCTGCAGCTCCCCCACAACTGCAGCTCCCAGCCGGTGGAACAGGCACTCACAGGAATAAATGGAAAAACCCCGGAGCAAATGCAGCAGCAAGGAGTTCACACTTCCCAAAGCCAAAGCAAGCAGATGCACATGCCCAACCATGTTTATCTGGTTTTTCATGTGAATTTGCCTCTGTCAAGGGTGATTCTGTTAAGGAAGCTTTGTCAGCCTGAGAGAGCACCAGGCTCACATGGATGAGTGTCAGAAATAAATAAATAAACTGAGCAAACGGCTTCACCTCATCACTTCTCTGGCCCAAAACCTTACCCTGCCACAAGCAAAGGAACCACACCCACAGGTGTGACAAGCCCTGGGCAGTGGCTGACAAGAGGCTCCCACTGCAGGGTCTCACCTGGGCTCTTTGCTGCTCCACCAAAAGCAGAGCCCCAAAGAACACGAGGCCGAGCCAGGTGGGCACAGCTGGGAGCACAGGCTGCTCCAGAGACACCCAGGAAAACCCCACAAGCATCATCTGAGTGAACCTGACCCAGTTCCACATCTCTCTTGTGGAGAGGCACCACACTTCACCCTGGCACAACAGGAGCAGCCAACCCTCACACGCTGCCAGCCGCTTTTATTCTGAGTTAAGCAGTGAGCTCTCAGCTTGGAGGGCGCTGGGCACACGCTGCAGTGCTGAGAGGAGCTGCCTGCCCTGGCCACACTCACCCCTTGTCCCGCCACTCCCCCGGTGTCACAGCACTGCTGTCACCAGCGTGGGCACGGAGCCAGCTCTCACAGACGGGACAGATGTGGTCACTGTGGAGAAGAACCATTGAGGGTGGGCACTGAGGGCAGGGATGGGCCTTCCAGAGCGTGGCTCTGGGGCTTGGAAAAGCCTGGGATAGTGGGAGGTGTGGGGGTGGGATGAGATGAGCTTTAAGGTTGGGTTCCAACCCAACCCATTCTGGGATTCTCTGATAAACACATTTCTACTCTGTTCTGAAATTCGCTGATTTTTGTCCATGCCCACCGTGGCACCTGGGTATTTTTAGGTATTTTTAGGTGGAAGACTGACCTTTGGTGGTCCATGGGCTGCTCTGCCTCACTCCACCACGGAGCAGCTTCTCCTGTGCCATCTGCCCTCAGCACATCCACAGCTTTGGCAGGAGAGCTGAACACAGAGAGAGAGAGAGAAGACAACCTGAGTGTGTGGCTTCCCAAAAACACCTGCTGCCAACACAGCCACTGCTCCCTAAACATCAAACTCTTGCTCCTGCTGATACAGGAACCACACGAATCCCAGCTGCAAAACTCACTTTATCCCCATAGAGATGCTTCCTCCCCCTTTCCCCTTGTTCTGCCTCCTCCTCACCAGGGGAGCAGAGCAAGCCCCTGCTGGATCTGTACCTGGTCCCTGCTGGGCTCTGGCTGTCCCCAGCACCGATGCTGGGGACGGAGTAGCTGCGGGGTTTTTGGGAGCTCAGCCAGTCCTGGCAGGTGGCACAGCCGCGGTGTGGGGGCTCTGAGAGAGGGGCCAGGTCACTGTGGAGCTGCTCCTCACAGCTGGGACACACGTGGCAGTTCCCTGTGTGGCTGTGGGTGAGAGAGACGGGGGAAATCCACCCAGAGAGCAGCCAGCAAAGCCCAGACCCTCCCGAAGCCCCCTTTGGACAGCAAGGTGCTCATCGTGGTGTTTGAAATCAAAAACTGCTCAAAGATCTTCTGCACAGGTGAGCTGAGCAGCAGTGAGACCCCTGGCTATAGTCAGAAGTCTGGCACAAGTTTTTGGGCAGGTGAACAAGCAAACCTACCAAAAATAGGAATTCCAGGGCTTGGGGTGCTTCTTCTCATCTGTAACCTCTGGATGCATCGCTGCATCCCTTCCCTTCATCTCCTGCTTTTGTAAATTCACATTATAAGAGCTGGAGAGACAGAAAGGGGGGAAATTGTAGAATAAAAAGAAGCTTCACAACATGGAAAAATCATGCTAACCATGCAAATATACTGAAGGTATGGGGCTTGAAAGGAAAAATCCACTTATCCCCAGGGAAAGTTCTGATTTTTGAGGGGCAGCTTACTGCTTTTCATTCTCTTTCCGTCTCATGATGATCCCAGCTAGAATTCCAAGGGCTACTGGAGGAACTGACAAAGAAGGGAAAGGGAGAGTGAAATCAACCACTGACTCCAGGTATTTAACAGCAAACAGCTTTGGGGTAGGAAAATATATTTTCAATTTTAAGCTACTTACCAATGCAACTGGGAATGAGGATGCTTGCTGGGGAGGAAAATAATGAAAGAGATGTTAAAGATATGAAAGCCAAAATGTGGTGCAATTACAGCAATTAACAGGACTTGTAAGCAATGGAGCTCTTACCCAGCCAGTAAGGATTCTCTTCTGAGGGTTTGGTTTGGTTTGTCTCTGCTGTGGTTTTAACTGGGGAGAGACAAAGGAAGAGCACTCAAAATGTGATTTTATATGGTGCTCAGCTTGTACAAAATATATCAAATAGTTCAGAGAAGAGTAAAAATCACATGGGCAGGTGACTTGTGCATCTCAGGCTGTGACAGGGACCTCTTGTGCCCCCCCAGGCCTTAAGGACAGAGGGGATTCTGCTGTTCCACTCGGCTTTATTGCCTGGGTGTTGTTGATAAATAAATCCTTTCTAAGTTCCCTCCAGCAGCTTTGCAGTCACTGATAATTCCCCACACTGACCATTACATTTCTGCCTGTTCCTCTCGAAGGGAAAACATAAATCCAGGTCTGGTTCTGCTCCTGGTGCTGCTCAGCAGAGCCTGGCACCTTGCAAACAAAGTGCCTGTGCAGGCAGGGTGGAATCAGCAGCAATTTGCAGCCCAGCAGGAGCAAACTGCGGGGAAGGGGCGGCTGTGAGCAGGGGAAGGCTCTCACCGCGGCAGGCGGGCGGGGTCCCGCTCCAGGTGCCGCTGTCGCCGCTGTCCCCCGTGTCCCCGGTGCAGCGCAGCGTGTCCTCTCCCACCAGCTCCAGCCCCGGCTCGCACGTGTAGGTTGTGACAGAGCCCAGCACGAAGTCCCCCGAGCTGTTCCCGCTGTGCTGCCCGCGGGGGATGGCTGGAGGAGGGGGACAGGAAATCACTGGGGGAGAAATGGAAGAAGTCAGGAGGTGACCCCTGGGGTGCTCTTCTCAACAGACATTGCTCCTGTCAGGCCGTCACAGGAGCCAGGGATGCTCCTGGGGACTCCCTGCTTGTGACAGCAGCTGTCCCCTTGCAGAGATGCTGACAAAGTAAACCTTAGCGAAGTAAAGCAAAAATTCAGCATTTCTGAGTTGGAACATTTGATTTTTCCAGTCAAGCACTGGACAACTTCACTCACCCTGGCAAGCTGGAAGAGGACTCCAGACAGCTTTGTCTCCCTGTAGGAGGCAACTGATGGAAGGTGATGCTCCCTTTAATCTGTACCTGCGGGGGCAAAAGGCACATCCCAAAATCAGCTGGTTGCCACCAACCAAGAATGTGCCACCACAGAGGTGCTGAGGACTCTGCACGGGCAGGGCCCCATGTCCCATTCACACCCCACTGACTCTGGCCAGGCAACTGGGATGCAGAGGGCAGTGGCTTCACACTCACCCACGGTCACAAACCACTCTGGCTGTTGCACCCAGCTGGTGTTCTTTTAGGATAACTTGGCCGTGTTCTGGATTGGCTGGAACACCACAGGATTTCTCTAAAAAAGGGTAAGATTGTCCTTAGGACACCATGAGGCTGGGGAAAACCCCACAAAGCTTAGTTTTCATGGCAGTATGGCAATGTCAAATCAGGCAGTTAATGGTATTTCATGTTAAATGTGATTAGAAAAGAGCAATTTTAAAATACATGTGTGGCACTTGGAACACAGGGTTGGGGAAAATGAAATGACAGGGGGACACTCACTCTGACACAGTTTAGGAACTTCTGTCCACGTTAAGTTGTCCAAACAGGTGCTGGTGGGGGGCTGGGCTGTGGTGTTTTCAAAACCTTGGCGACAAATGTACCTCACCGTGGTGTTAACGGCGTAAAAATTCTGCATTTTGTCTTCTGGTGATATCGCAGCAAATGACACAGATCTGGGTCTGGGACAGCTGCCTGGCCACCACAGAGACACCCAAATGTCGGGTTACAGAGCAAAAATAACATTTTGTAAACAGAAATCCGAGTGAGCTTCACTAAGAACATGGATCCCAAGCAGTGCCCTCCTCCCTGGCCACTTCCACCAGGGAGTTGTCTGAGGTGGGGAAGTGCAGCCAGTTCTCACTGGAGAAGTTTCCAAATGCCCAGAGCCAAACCTCCCAGCCTGATTAACCCTTTGGTCACTCAGTGCTCTGCCCCCGCATTCCTTCCCCTTTCCCATGTGCTTCCCAAGCTGTTCCTCTATTTTCATTAGCGCACAAGTGCCACACAAGTGGCTCCAACCACTCGGTGGAGTGTAGGAAAAAGGGGCAGCAAGAGAAGTGGCCAGACCACTTCATCCTGTGTGATGAGGAAAGCCCTGAGGCAGCGATTGCCAAAGCTGTGGGTGTTCCCACAAGCAGCCCGCGCCCTCCTTGTGTCAGAGAAAGGGAAACACTCACGGCCGCAGAACTCGGGCAGGCTGGACCAGCGGGAGTTCGGCAGGCAGCGGATGGTGTCGGAGAGAAAAGGGAGCTTGGTGTAACCCGGGACGCAGCCGAAGGTCACTGTGGAGCCCACACTGAAGCTCTGCTGGTGTTTGGTGTCCCCCCGCGGCTCGGCGTGGCTGATATTTGGCAGCGGCCCGCAGTCCCCTGTGGGGAAATAAACGGGGATTTAGCGCGGCTCCTTCTGCTGCTTTTGTACCCCGGGCAGGGCGGGGGGCACACACAGAGCCGGTGGGAAAGGGGGGTACAGGGAGCACACTCAGGGACAGGGATACGGGGTGCACACACACAGAGAACACAGTCAGAGCACACACACAGCCACAAAGCACACAAGGAGCACAAACACACAGGGAGCACATGCACATGGATAACACACACTGACACACATAACACACAGAGCACACAGAAAACACACACGGAGCACATGGAGCACGTGTACAGGGAACACACACAGGGAACACACACACACGAATCACATTCACATGGATAAGACATGGACCACACATTCCCATGGATAACCCACACTGCCATGGATACCCCACACTGCCATGGATAACCCACACTCCCATGGATAACCCACATTCCCGTGGATAACTGACACTGCCATGGATAACCCACACTCCCATGGATAACCCACATTCCCACGGATAACCCACACTCCCATGGATACCCCACATTCCCACGGATAACCCACTCTGCCATGGATACCCCACATTCCCACGGATAACCCACTCTGCCATGGATACCCCACATTCCCACGGATACCCCACACTGCCATGGATACCCCACATTCCCATGGATACCCCACACTCCCATGGATAACCCACGGGTCCTACACTCGCACACGCGCGGACGCGGAGAGCGCTCCCGCACGCACGGAGCTCCCAGCCCGGAGTGCCCGGCTCCCCGCAGCCCCCTCCCCTGCAGGGGCTCACCCCACGCCGCGGGCAGCAGCAGCAGCAGCAGCAGCGGCAGCAGCAGGAGCGAGCAGCGGCGGCCGGAGCCCATCGCGGGTCCCCCGGCACTGCCCGGGCAGCGGAGCCGCTCCCGCGGGGCTGCTCCGAGCTCCGCGGAGCCGCCACCCGTCCCTCCCGGCCAGCCCAGCTCAGCTGAGCTCAGCTCAGCTCCGGGAAGGCTCTGACGAAAGCCGGGAGCGCGGTGGGGAGCGGGGCTGGGTGTGGAACGCGCGGGGTGCGCGGTGCCAGGCACGCCTGGCATCCCAAGGAGCAGCTTCCAGGGAACCCGCTGCCTCTGCTTCTCTGCCTTACTCTGCACCTGCCAGGAAAATCCCCCCTCCCTCCAAAGCTGCCAAGTCCCAAACGAAAAGAAAACACCCAAACCAAAAAGGGCAGGAAGGGGAATATGTCCTCCCAGTCCGAGGAGAGGGCAGGCAGCAGCCGACCTGCACCTTCCTGTTTTCCTTTGTTATCCAGGAAACAGCGATGTTTCCACTGCTCGAACTTACCAGCTTACCTCTTTTATTTACTTTTTTTTAAATTTACACTTTATTTTCCTTTCCTATCCAGCTTAAGTTCCAATCGGATGTAACAAAGGCATTTGCGATGAGACACAGAGGTGGTTTCCTAAGGGAAGGAATCCAGCACCTTGGATAACGTGTTCCTATAAAACATTTCCCTGTAAACACAATGACAAATTCCACGGAGAGACCTTGGCTGCGTTTTTACAGCTCACTGCCCTGAATGGGGATGGTGGCTGCAGAAGGCAAGAGGAATCTGTTAACAGGAAATAAAACGAACCACCTTTAAATTCTGGGGAATTCTCCTGTATTAGCTTAGGGCAGTGACCTTGGCACGGGGCAGGAAGATGCTGAAAAGTATTTGGCAAAGGCTCCGCTCGAAGCTGAGCCCCAGCAGGGAGTGGCTGCACTCACTGAACCGAGAGCTGCAGCTCCAGCTCGGTGAAATGCCCTTGCTCGCAGGCTGAACCCCAGAAAACCCCAGAAAACCCCAGAAAACCCCAGAAAACCCCAGAAAACAGGCTGTTTTCTGCTTGAGGAGAGAACAGGAGAGATCTGTGCCCCCGCCCGGGCTCAGCTCTGCCCTCTGCACCTGCATTCGCTGCCCCGTTTTGCCCTTTTTTGCCCCGTTTTGCCCCGTTTTGCCGCAGGAGCCTCGGGAGTTCCTCCCGGGCCGTGGCTGAGCCCCACGATAGCAGCGCTGTCCCTGCCCGGCCACCGAGGGCCACCTGCTTTATCTGGCCCTGCCAGCCGTCCCCGCAGCGCAGGGATCAGCCCGGGCAGCTGCGGGGGCACGCACGGGGGGTGGCAAAAGCCGGCAGCAAAACCAGCGCTGGAGCTGCCCGGGATTGCCGCAGGAATTCAGCCTGAGCTCCAAAACCTGCTGGGCTGAGCCCGGCATCTGCCTGAGCTGAGCCTGGGTCTGCCTGGGCTGAGCCTGGATCTGCCTGGGCTGAGCCTGGGTCTGCCTGAGCTGGGCCTGGGTCTGCCTGAGCTGAGCCTGGATCTGCCTGGGCTGAGCCTCAGTCAGGGGCTGCAGGTTTCAGTCCCAGGGTGGCTGAACAGGATTACGGGAGGTGTAACTCCAGCTGCCTTTCCCAGACCGCTTTCCAGAAACACATTTCTGCTTTCCTCCTTTACTACTTTTTTAGAATATGCAACCAAGTTTGACTTGCCATGGGTGGCATTTAGAAAATAAATGTTCAGAGTGATAAAGAACTGACAGAATATCGAATCTGATCATTGCCAGGATATACCTTAAAGCTGATTCCTTCTTGAAAAAGAGAATAAAATATGACCAAAAAAACCAGCAGGGAGTTGAACTCACAGAATGCCCTTTATAAACAATTACCATTTATTACTAAATAGAAATAAAAACCCAGAAAGGCTTTGGGAGTTTTAGGTGTTTACAGGACAAGATTGGGGTAGGCAGCCTAAAGAACACTCATGACATTTCCAGTCCCTCTGCTGCAGGGTGGCAACCCTGGGGAGGATATTTAGGAGCTGTATTTCAGTGTCTGTGCCTGGTTGATGTGCTCACAGCAGGACTGAGCTGCTCCCTCCCTCTGGAAAGGAGAAGTGGCTCCTTTACGTTACGAGATCAGAGATGCCCGGCCCTCGTGTGGCTTTATCTTCCTGTGGTAGAAATAAAAACTGCAAGGAACTTCGGGCTGATACAAGAAGAAGCTTTTGCTGAAGAAAGGGCTTAAACCACCCAAGATATAAAGATTAAACGGTGCAATATCCCAAGTACCATGGTTTCCTAAAAGAAATGAGCTAAAACTCTGCGGGACAGGGAGGTCCTCGCTTTGCTTTTCCCTGCTGGCAGCTGGATCCACAGCTGGATCAGCTGCAGCCGGGAATTCCTGGGAGGATGAGGGAGCAGCTCCCTGCCCAGGGCGGCTGGGCTGTGTTTGGGGTTTGTTGTGGTGTTGCCAGCGAGCAGAAAAGCTGCGGCTCTGGAAACACCGCGTCAGGCTGGGCGGGACACGGCCCGGCTCCGGGGGAGCTCTGCAGAACTCCGGGGGTTCCCAGCCTCTGGAACCCTGCTGGGATCAGCGGGAATCACAGCTGGATCGGGATGCTGGGAGGCAGTCACCGAGAGGAAAACTCGGGTGGGAGAAGCAAATATGGAAATCAGCCAATGCTTTTGGGAATAATTTTCCATGGATTTCTTGGAATGCTAAAACATCATCATTTAAAAATTACATTTTATAGGTGGGACAGACCTGATCTGCCCAGGGCGGCTGGGCTGTGTTTGGGGTTTGTTGTGGTGTTGCCAGCGAGCAGAAAAGCTGCGGCTCTGGAAACACCGCGTCAGGCTGGGCGGGACACGGCCCGGCTCCGGGGGAGCTCTGCAGAACTCCGGGGGTTCCCAGCCTCTGGAACCCTGCTGGGATCAGCGGGAATCACAGCTGGATCGGGATGCGGGGAGGCAAAACCCTGCTGGGATCAGCGGGAATCACAGCTGGATCGGGATGCTGGGAGGCAAAACCCTGCTGGGATCAGCCGGGATCACAGCTGGATCGGGATGCGGGGAGGCAAAACCCTGCTGGGATCAGCCGGGATCACAGCTGGATCGGGATGCGGGGAGGCAAAACCCTGCTGGGATCAGCAGGGATCACAGCTGGATCGGGATGCTGGGAGGCAGTCACCGAGAGGAAAACTCGGGTGGGAGAAGCAAATATGGAAATCAGCCAATGCTTTTGGGAATAATTTTCCATGGATTTCTTGGAATGCTAAAACATCATCATTTAAAAATTACATTTTATAGGTGGGACAGACCTGATTTAGGTCATCCTTTATCTTAAAGCAAGGTGAAAAAAAAAAAGTGTGACCATTGCATGGGGCACTTTTGGAACAGGTCAGGAACGGTAAAAGATTTTCTGGTTTTGACCCAAAAGACAAAACTCAGGGATGGGCAAACTCAGCTGGACCCCGACGCCAGAGGAACCCTTTTCAGCATCCCCCAGCTGGGTGCTGAGATCCTCCAGTGGCTGTTGTGTCTTCCCCACTCACAGTGACACAAACACTTCCCACAAAGCCAAAACTCCTCCTTTTCCTGGGTAAAAATTATCCTCTGCAGCGGGTGGGGAATTTGGAGGACCAGAACTTCCACCACGTCCAGCTTCTCCTGGCTGTGCACGACGTCCCTGTGGGGAACAAGGCTGGCATCAGCACCTCGGAGCCCTGGCACTCTCAGGGCTACAAAGTTCTCTTTTGCTCTTCAAAATGCCCAAAAAATTAGTTTTAAAAAAAAAATAAATCTGTAATAAGGTGAGGGCAAGGAAATATTCAATAAATTAAAATGTATTCCAGAGAAAGCAAAGCTTTTTATGAGAATTGAAGGTCAGTGCAGTCAAAGCTGAGCTGTGAATCAGATGCCCAACCAGCAAAAAAATATAAATTATACAGAGAAAACTTACAGAAGAAAAGAACAGGACAAAAAACCCACTCACTTCCACAAAATGATGGAAATTTGGGCTGTTTTAACTTCTGAAAGCAGCCAGGTGGGGGAAGGATCCCCAGGTACTTCGGAGGACACACGGATCCTTTGCTGGACCCAGAATAGGATTTTGGGGATTTGTACAACGGTAGAACAAATCTGACCTCTGAGGCAGCCCAGTTCCTGCTCACTGAAGAGAAATATGGGAGAAAAAAATGAAAATTCCAGGTTTTAGGGATGGGAGTGACCAGGAGGTGCCACGATGCCGTTGTCCCTCCAGGACTGACCTGGTTTCCTGAAGAAAGAGGGTTGGGAGGGGGAGATGCTGTTTTGGAGAGACTTTTTGTAGAGGCTGAGCTTCCTCTCCCACGCGAGACCCTTCTCAGAGGGCTGGGCTCCCTTTGCCTGGGGACCTGAGGAGATGGAATTCACGGGGTGAAATTCGCCGGGTGGCCTTTCCTAGAAATGTGATGAAGGGGGTAATAAATGGGGCTTGATTGGACGTCGAGTGATTTCAACTCACTTTTGGGAGGAGCTCTCCCCTCCGCGTCCTTTGCTCCAAGGCTGACAGCTGAGCTTTTCTCTGGGGACACAGAGGGAGCATTGCCCAGAGCACTCCTCCTTCCTTCAGAGCCCTCCCAGCCCTTGCTCCAGCAGTGCCTTTTCCCCTTTAAAATTTCCTTACCATTTCCTTTAAAATTTTCCCCTTTAAAATTTCCTTACCACTTCCTTTAAAATTTTCCCCTTTAAAATTTCCTTACCATTTCCTTTAAAATTTTCCCCTTCAAAATTTCCTTTAAAATTTCCTTACGTTTAACCCCTCCTGCACTTCATACCCACGATATTTTAAGGTGGCTCACCCTGAATAAAAAACTAATACTAAATACAGAGTAATAAACACTAAATACAAAGTAATAAATACTAATTAATAAACACTAAATACTGAGTAATACTAAATACTAAATAATACTAAATAACATGGAATACAAAATAATGAATATTATACATGAAATGCAAAATAATAAATATTATACAATAAATACTAAATAATTAATAATAATCTATCATTAATTAATAATGAAGAATAAAAACAGTTAAAAATATAATTAAATCCTAATTAATAATTATTAATAATAATATAGTAATTAATAAATAATAAAATATAAATAATAGAAATTAAGTTATATATAATGTATAATATATAATAGATAATAAAAGATTAATCATTAATAATAATAAATAATAAGTAATTAATACTAAATAATAAGCTATAAATAATAAATAATAAATAATAAATATTGCATAATAAATAAATAATACATAATAAGTAATAAATAATAAGTAATTTCAGCCCCTGAATGGGATGAAGCCACCTTTGCACTGGGGCATGGCTCCACTCCAGACCCCGCTGCTTTTGTCCCTGCTCCCACACCGGATGCTCCCATTCCCCTCCAGCTGGAAGTTGGGCTCAC